CAGCCTACGTCTTGGGGTTGGGAGCATCCCATTCCGGCGCCTTGCCTTGGAGATAGACAAGCCATGGCAATTGTCTCTCCTCGGGCTCAGTCTCTGCAGATGATGAACGACGCTGTACACTCCGGGCAAAAAGTCGGATAGATGCCTCTCCTGGATGGCGGTAGTCTACAGGAACTTCGAAAAAGTGTTCTCCAACTTTCAGCCTGCCTATGTTGCAGATGTAGCATATCAGGACGTGGTTCTCTTTGGCAAACATAAAGCAAGCAACACCGTGTGATGGAGGGGTTGACGGACGAACCTGGGACGTCTTTCAAGCGCTTGCTAATCAATGTTGCTACAGCCATGCTTCTGATATGACTCTCCGAGGGTATCAATTGACTTCCAGGTGTATTAGATGGAATATTAATTTTGAATTGAGATGGTGACGGACGAAAGTGGTGAATCAGTAACTACAGAGTACCTAGCTAAGCCAGTTTAACTCTCCACAAAGATCCAAACCGTGGAAGGGATCATTCACTAGAGGAAGTCAACTGCACTCACATCAACACTTATTACTTGGCTTAACTAGACACTACATCCATTTTGTAATGTCAAAAGAATCATTTTGGATCCTAGTAATGACCTGGAGACAACGCCAACGGCTGTTTTAAAGTTGAAATAGACGGCTATTCGGGGAAATTTCCGCTTCGCCCTTCATCGCATCGCCACGAACTGGTAGCAGACCAGACCATGCCGGGGCTGGCAAGTGGACTATTTCCATCCCCACTTTGACCATTATTGCCTTGAGAACGGAATCTCCTAGTTACACCGACGTGATCGCCACGGAATGTTGATATCAAAAGACACTTGGCCTTCCAGATTCTGAGAAACGCAATGACAGAACCAGTAACTATGGAGCCAGACGAGATATCTCTGGCTGAAGATCATGCAGCCCTTGAGAGAGTCGTCCTCTCTTCCGGGCCAACCGCAAGGGTCCTTCCATCAGCCCAGGATTTGGAACATGCCAGAGCGTTGCTCATAAAGTCGCTCCCCCCGAAAGGCTTGGGCTTCGCGCAGACGAAAGATCACCTACTAAAAGTAGTTGTTCCGGGGTTAAATTTTGCGAGCATCAGCCCTAACTATTATGGCTTTGTGACTGGCGGGGTCACTCCCGCCGCATGGTTTGCGGATAACGTCGTTTCTGTGTACGATCAAAACGTCCAGGTGCACATCCCGGATCATTCTGTGGCTACAGATGTGGAACATCGGGCATTGAAATTGCTCTTGGACTTATTTCAGCTGGACGAAAAAGTTTGGGCGCATACAACAGTTACTTCTGGTGCCACGGCTAGCAATGTGCTGGGATTGGCTTGTGGGAGAGAGTTTGTGCTGTGCGCAGCAGCGGAGAGGAACGGGGTTGACTGCAAAAGCGTTGGAGAATATGGCATTGTCGAAGTCTTGCGAGCGTCTGGCTTGAAGGGACTACAAGTGCTCTCGACTTTGCCGCATTCATCTTTGGGAAAAGCCGCTGGGATCTTAGGAATCGGCCGTGCAAATGTCAAAAGCATATGCGCAAATCAGAATCCACTTCGATTCGATTTGGAACGACTGGAGATGGAACTAGCTCTTCCTGGAATGGCTAGTATCGTTGCTATTTCTTGCGGCGAAGTGAATACCGGTCGCTTTGCAACCGGGGGGATCGAAGAGTTCCAAAAGATTCGTGCTCTTTGTGACAAGTATAATGCATGGCTGCATGTAGATGGGGCCTTTGGAATATTCGGTCGTATCCTTTCCCACGTCAGTGATTCTAAGGAGTTCGACTCTATTCGAAAGGGTTGCGAGGGCCTGGAGTTAGCAGACTCAATCACTGCCGACGGTCATAAGCTGCTCAATGTTCCCTATGATTGTGGAATCTTCTTCTCTCGATATGCCAAAACCGCCCAGGATGTCTTTCGAAATCCAAATGCTGCGTATCTGGCTACTTCCGCGGCGGCTGACACGGTGATATCACCGAACAGTATTGGCATCGAGAATTCGAGACGTTTTCGAGCGCTACCTGTCTATGCTACTCTAATCGCATACGGCCGAAACGGATATCGGGCCATGCTGGAGAAACAAATTAGGCTTGCCCGCCGTATCGCAACCTGGATATTTGATCAGCCAGAATATGCCGTTCTTCCTAGAGTTTCATCCAAGGATGAATTGCTGGAGAACACATTTATGGTTGTTCTGTTTAGTGCAAACAATGATGATCTTAACGCGGAGTTGGTGAATAAAATCAACAGCACTTCACAGATATACGTGTCTGGGACAAGTTGGGATGGAAGACCAGCGTGCCGAATTGCGATTTCGAATTACAAAGTCGATGTAGAGAGAGATTTTGCAAGGGTAATGGGAGTCCTGCAAAACCTTGTCAAATAAAGCAATATAAACAGCAAGATATTTTACTTCTCATTGGAAGGGTTCCAGAGTTCAACTAGCACCTGAAAATACTGTTATCTCCTTCTACCGGCAGACGGCATCTCTGCCCTTTCTGACATGCTAACCACTTCTCCAATCCCAGCTTCCTCCTGTTCATCCTCCAAAGCAGTAATCTCCTCTCTACAATCCCACCATTTCTCCTCCGCCAAATCGAATGCGTCTTTTCTCAACTCCTTGATCGTTTTTTCCGTCGCTGCGTTGCTATCTTTTAGCTTAGTCAAGAGGATCTCCTGCCATTCCGTGGACGTTCTAGTGAAGAACTCCCGTAGGCTTTCAAACGGCCTGGGATGTGGGCGTGAATCTTGGAGCTGCATTTCCACCGGTTCCTGTTCAGCCTCAAGTTCCATGGCATTCGGCTCCGTAATTTCCGTGAGTGCAGTGGACGCAGCTTCCACAGACGCCATTTCTTCATCCTCGTTTTCGCTTTCAGATTCCTCGTCTTCCATTTCTTCATCGCTCTCTACATTGGCAGCGTCATTCCAGTGCTCGGGTTCTTCAAAGAAAATCTCTTTGACCCCATTGAGTTTCATCAGATCAATGGAGTACAGGTCGTTAAATGTGAATTCTTGATCCTTGCGTTCAAATGTTCCGCCGTATATAAAAAGTGTATCTTCCTGGACGGCAAGTTGTCCGTTAAATCTTGGATGTGGCATTTCAAACTTCACTGGCAGTGACTGCTTCAAATCTATATCCTCGTCCTCTGTGGTTATGGCGTGTATCTCCATCTCCATATTATCTTTATGAGATAGGCCCCCTTTCGCCTCTAGGCGAGCTAGATTGCGAAGGAGCTCTTCCTCATCTTCTTTGCTTCGATTTCGTGATTTCACCGCCTGTGACCCAGCTTGTTGCTTTTTGTTCCCAGCTCTCGGTTTTCGAAGAGACAACTGAAAGAAACGATTGCGCTCGATATTCCACGCATACAGAGTGTCGAAAAATTCGCTGTCAATACCTTCTTCCGTTGCTTCAACATCGTGAACGCCGCCAAATAAAATCCCACGGCCTTTGTGATATGCCATTGTCACTCCAGCCCGTGGTGGATTGGGTGGGTTAGCTGGCTTTTTCCTGCGCTCCCACCGCACAGTTGGTTGCGAGCTCGCCGGAGCATCAGCTGCGGGCGGTGTGATACGCAAAAACCATGTATCCTGATGAACCATTGGCTTCAGCGTCATACGCTGGGAGCTGCCGCCTTTTTGGCCCTTGCCAGCTGTCACAGACATTTTAACTCTGGAATACCCGCCATACAGGACCGCCCCGGACTCGTGTGGGAGAAATGAAAAGGACGAACGAGCATCAGGTTTCTGCGATGCAGGGGGCAAGACCGAATTGTACCACGTATATTTCTGACAATCATATATCCAGAGATCCTGTAGATATTTCGTCTGTTGCGAGGTATCCTGGAAACCTCCAAATAATATGATGTAATTCTGACACAATGTTAGACTGCTACGCAGGTTGAATATGTCAACAAGCGTAACTTACTTTAAAATAAGTCATTCTATGGCCACTTCGTGCTGGAGGGCCTTTACCCTTGGTCTCCAGGCGAGTCCACTCCCTTGTGGAAGGGTCCAAATGCCAAAAATCATTATAATGATAAAAGGTACCCTGTTTCGGGGACGAGAATTCTCCTGGTTTCCTATCAGTATTACTACACTCAAAAGATACCCAAAACTGGCTGAAGCTTGCATATTAACGAACCACCAAAGAGGTAAATTCCTCCAGCGTTTCCTCCACGGCACCATGCATGTCCACTCCTAGGCAATGGGCTGTTGGGACTGGTAACCTCACGCCACTCATTCCTATCAATCAAATAAATATATAAGTTATTGAAAAATGTGGCCAGCGCTCCGTCGTAGTACTCGCCACCAAAAAGAAGGAGTTCATTGCGATTCGACGGGGATGCAATAAGGGTTGAAGATGAGCGGGGTGCAGGTGGCCCACTGCTTGATTCTGTCACTTTGAGGAACTTTGCTTGCTCTTCCGCGTAGGCTGCCAGGACAGCATCCAAATCGACGTCTTCGACATCACTGTCATCTTGTGCATTGCCCTTTGATTTGCCCTTCTTTTCTTTTTGGGAAGCTTTCTTGGCCTGCTTTGCGACGGTACGGGCTTTCTGCTCAGCTTTTTTGGCTTTTTTGTCCTTTGCCATGTTGAGGATTCAAATAAATATATGACTCTTCGTCTCTTTCAGGGTCTTGTTCAGATTGGCTCAGTGGTCTGTTAGGGAGTGGGGTACAGTGGTCTGAGATTTGCGACTTCGGTGTAGTTACTAAGTGCTGAATTGTAAAATATCTTAAAATATAGAGAATATAAAAGGACTACTCCTTCATTTTAGAGATATAGGTCTTAAAGACGAGTATCAGGAAGAAACATTTTCTGAAGTGTCAACTCTCTACAATAACGTTGTCGACTTGATAGTTTATTAAGCATAAATTGCCAAGATATAGCCAGCTAGTTAAATGGATGCATGACTAAGCAGAAACTCAATAACGTCACGTGCCGACGCGACTTGAACGTCAATCCAAACAAACCACCGGCTTCAAGGATCAGACCGCAGAGACAAATGTTGAAACGACTATCGGGTGGACAGATATGACCAGCATCTATGACAAAACATAACCTAGGGGACCATTTGGACTGGCTATTGACGCGGGGCCCCGAATCATTCTCATCTTTAGAGATCCCAAGCCGAGGCGACAGACTGAAGGGTGACATTGCAAGGCCAGGTACACCCACGCGCATAAAGCCCGCCAATAACACTATACCGTGCTTGCCCGGTGTGGTACATATTGATTCTATCGGTTCACCAGCTCATCGCAGAGCCGGCGATGGCGAGTCACCGGGGAGGATCAATATGGCTCGTCTCCAATTCGCTCCGCCGTCATCCTCCAAATCGAGGTTACTGTGCTTAGAGCCGAAAGAGGACCCAGCTTCTAGATCAACCCCTTCATCGAAGCGCAAAAAGGAATTTGTTCTGGAGGAGCCCAACCTCAACAAACTTCGATCGGAAAAGACTCGTTAGTTAATGGTTTCTTTACTTGGTTTTTTGGAGCCTTCGTTTGTCTCTAACCCTTTTCCCACAGCCAAGACGTCCGCCTCCACAAGCTCTACTTTTGCGAAAGTTGATGTATGGCAATCCCCTTCCTTGAAAGGAAAGCATGTCTTTTCTCCAGACCCCTTGCCTGACGACGTAGGGTCAATTGACCTTACAAATGACCTGGACCGTCAGACCTCATCATCTGCGACCATTTCAACTTTCGGCGAACCTCAGCGTTTATGGACCGAAGACTACGCATCACGCAAAGAGCCAGTATCTACTAAGAAGGGGAGGAAAAGAAAAAGTGATGAATATGAACTTGATTTGCATCCCAAACAGACAACCCCCCGTCGCAGACCGCCAAGCTCATCAGCCCAGAAGAACAGCGCAAAAATCTTGAACTCGTGGTCCCAGAACACACCACCACAGGTTTCTCCTTTTAAATCGCGCTTGATAACGATAAGTGATTCGGAGGATGATGGCGGGGATACTGCTTGGGATGCTGAGCGCGAAGATCCATCTCGAGCGTCTTGTAAAAGCGCTCGGTTAGATCCAAGCTTAATGCGTAAAACAGAAAAGCTTTTAACTTCAGACCCACCAATTAGTTCCGACAGTTCGAAGCAACCCGGTGACTTGCGGCAGGCTCTACCAAATCCAAGTTCCGTGTTTCCCATGGATGGTAACTCTCCCACAATTGAAGATGATGAAAATCCTCTCTTTTCTCGATTTCTAACCGCGGACCCGACTTTGATGACTACTATCTTCGAGCAACTTACCTCCCAGCGTGAAAACAAAGCAAAAGCTGTTCTACAACATGTGATGACTGGTTCGAGTCCCCCCGCGGAAGAGCTAGCAGCGATTAAGGCTCTGGTGTCGAGAATCAAAGCTATTGAAAGCCTCCGTGACCAACGAAGCTTGTACCTTACTTCAAAAGATCGGCTAGAGGATCTCAAAGCTCAAGTGTTACAGCATATTCAGTCCGGAGATTTCCCCGGGTCTTCACCCGACATTGCTGAAATCAAAAGTCTTCGAATGAAACTGCTAGCGGCAAAAGAAAAGATTATTGATTTGATTCTGGAGGCTCGAATTTTCGATACAGATTATAAACTATCCTCGAATATGCAAACACCCAACCAAAATGCTTTAGTTTCAGGAACAAAGCTTTTGGAGAGGCGCACGGAGCCGCCCAGGGTACAAAATACGTCTCAGGCTTTCGCTGGAACCCCAACTTACACTCACTCCCTTCCCTTACCAATCCCTAACTCAGCCTACCCGCAAAGGACCTGTTCGTATCGAAGCGAACCGGGCCCCCAGACTTTCCTCACAACATCTGCTGCAGGCACAATATCTAGAAACAGCTTTAGGCAAAATAGTCTAGGCCCTTCCCAAGCTAAAAGTGTTCTCCAGGATGAGATCGATTTCGACGAGGACGACACATTTGACGATGCCGATATCTTTTCGCGAACTATGGGCACACCTTTAGGACAGGGATCTGACATTGAATTTGACCTTGATGCTGATGATGATGATTTGCTTGAGGCAGCTGAAGGGTTTGAAAGTAGACTATATCGCCCTGCCGAGCTCCATGCCCAGACTCGTAGGGTATTACAAGAGACCAGTGGTAACTTAGCTCGTTCGCCCCCTCGGAAAAAAATTCATAGCTTCGATATGCCAACCGCGATCGAAGGCATGAATCATCCGTGGTCGGCGGATGTGAAAGCTGCGTTGAGAGATGTCTTCAAACTTCGTGGCTTTCGCCCGAACCAGCTTGAAGCCATCAATGCAACACTGAATGGAAAAGATGCTTTTGTCTTAATGCCGACTGGGGGTGGAAAATCTCTCTGCTACCAACTACCATCTGTTGTACAATCCGGCCGCACCCGGGGCGTCACTGTGGTCATCTCGCCGCTTCTGAGTTTGATGGATGATCAAGTTGAGCAGTTACGGTCACTAAGCATAAAGGCTCATTTCATCAATGGTTCACTGAGCGCCGCAGACCGTTGTGAAATATTGGCCTATCTTCATAAACCCCGTGTGGAGGACTATCTCCAGATCCTATATGTAACCCCAGAAATGGTTAACAAAAGCAGAGTGATGCTAGGTGCACTCCGACAATTACACAGGGCCAAGAAGTTTGCCCGGCTTGTTATAGATGAAGCGCATTGTGTTAGCCAGTGGGGCCACGATTTTCGACCAGATTACAAGGAATTAGGAGAATTTCGACGTGAGTTCCGCGGAGTACCTCTGATGGCTCTTACAGCAACGGCCACGAAGAATGTTGAAGTCGACGTTATCCATAACCTCGGTATGCAGGGTTGTGAGACTTTTACGCAATCATTCAACCGCCCAAACCTGACGTACGAAGTGCGTACTAAAGTGAATTATGATGAAACACTCGAAAGCATCTCGAGGATTATTGACTTCCACTATGGGAAAACAGGGATAATATACTGCTTGTCAAGGAAGAATTGTGAAAGGCTGGCGACTGATCTTCGCGTGAAGCATCAAATCAGAGCAACACATTACCATGCGGGCATGGACGCCGATCAGCGTATAGACGTTCAACGGAAATGGCAAAGCGGAGAACATCAGGTCATTGTCGCGACGATTGCTTTTGGTATGGGGATCGATAAACCGGATGTCCGTTTTGTTATTCATCACTCCATTCCAAAGAGCTTAGAGGGCTACTACCAGGAAACAGGCAGAGCTGGGCGCGATGGCAAGCGATCCGAATGCTTTCTTTTCTATGGATATAGAGACGCGATTGCGATTCGAAAAATCATCGACGACGATAAAAGCGGCAAAAAAGATGGGCAACAGAAAGAACGACAACATCAAATGCTGCAGCATGTGATTCAATTTTGTCAAAACAAAAGTGATTGCCGAAGAGTGCAAATCCTGGCGTATTTCAGCGAGGATTTCAAACGAGAAAACTGCAGGCTCAGCTGCGATAATTGTCAGTCTGGATCTAAGCACGAAATCGTTGATTTCACCCAATATGCTATTTCCGCTCTGAAGCTTGTGAGCCGATTGCAACATGACAGAGTCACAGCACTTTATTGTATTGATGTTTTTAGAGGGGCCAATCCCAAGCGATTCCGTCGAGATGAACATACCCTTGTCCCAGAATATGGTATGGGTGCCGATTTAGATCGCAATGACCTGGAACGAATGTTTAAGAAGCTCCTTACTGAGGGAGCTTTGGTTGAAAGAAACATCCCCAACCACAAAAGCATGGCTGAGCAATTTGTCGAACTAGGCCCTAGGGCCGCGCAATTCCGTTCTGGGCACCACAAATGTACTCTTGCCGTCAAAGTATCACCAGGATCCAAGAAAGCGTCGTCAAAACCCTCCAAGCAGGCGCGAAAGAGAGATACAAGTTCTGCAAATACTGGCGTCCAAGCTGCGAAGGATGAATTCCCACAATCTACTAATGTTTCATCTCCTATACCGACTCTACCTAGGCGTGGCGCTGGTAAGCAGCAAGCAGATGCCTACAAAGATGCATTCGAAGACGAAGATGGTACTGATAGTGATGGATTCGAACCCATTCGTGGGGTTGGAAACCGCCGTCCCCAACGTCGCGGCGTTGGCCCTCGAATCACGGAGGATGGAAGCCGCCATGGTTTAACTCAGCTTCAAACTATGATCCTGGACGAGTTTTTATTAGTAGCAAAGAAGGAGTGTCAAGCAGTAAGTCTCGGCCATGGACAACTACTAAGAGCGAATTCACTGAAGCCGTTCCAGATTATGTTGAAGAAGAATCTACGAGATCAACCTTTTCCAGATCGAGTTTTGCGGGAAATGGGAGTGCTCTTTCCCAAAAGTATGTCGATCTCAATAAAGTCGGCGAGAAACGAGTGCTAAAGTGACATACAATAGGTAGTGGCGAGTTGCTTCAGATCCGTGACATAGATCCAGACAAAGTGGAATTATACGGCGACAAATTTCTTACCCTGATCGCAATGTCTAAACGGCGTTACGACGAATTCGCAGCTGATGCCCTCGACAACGGTGATCGAGAGGAATTAGCGGTCCCGGACCCAAACCATAATGTCGTTACTATCATTAGCGATGATGAAAAGGATGGTGACGACGATTATCGTGACTACTCCCCTAATGTTACTGAATATACTGGGCCTACAAGAAGTCAATACTTTGGGGGAAGACCTCGGTCAGCCACTAATTTCAGGGCCCAACGTAAGACTCCTTTCACCGCTTTTGCGGTAGCCAAATGAGCTGATGCGATATAGTGTCTGAATATCAGTATTCTCAGACTGGCAGCACTGCTTCGAAATCAAGGACTTCAAAAAGCGGTTCTTCATATTCCCAAGGCAATCGCGCGGCTAGGCGCACTCGGAGAGATAAATCGGCAAGTGGATCTAGCAAAAAAGCGCGATCTACCCAATGGAGGTCAAAATCACCGTCTAGGTCAAAGGTTTCGAAATCAAAGCCTAGTAATTCACTTTCCATTGGAATGATGCCTACTTAATTTATAGCTCATAAGTTTTGCTCGCTTATGCCTTTTTCTGCGGTTGATATCATTCTCAATTCTCTTGCGACTTGGCAATTCAGGCTTTGCTTTTAGCTTCCAACATAGTTAACTACATAGACGCAAACCCCAGACCGTCATGTAGAACATGGCTGCACGACTTCGGCGTTGACCACCAACGCCAGGAGAAGGGCCGGTTCGTGGATGATGTAAATATAATCTTCCACATATGTGGGATAATATTTTGAGAGGTGATGAGACCATTGCCCTCAGAAAACCTGAAAAAATCAGTTGCATTCACCGCAATAAAAAGGCATATACAGCTATATGCATTAAAAGGATTAAGGTTACTCACGGCACCGCCAATGATAAAGACTCTTTCTTCTTCCTGCTGTGCCCATTGAGCTATCTGATTTGCACTTTGAGACAGAGCATTTCTATTGCTGCCAGGCGGAGCAACACAATACAACTCAAAGGTCGAAGTCACCCATGCCAGAGAATCCATACTGCTGGAGGCACAATGCTGCACCTTGACGTGTGTGCTTTTAGCGTGGATGCTGCTATGTAGAGCATGGTAAATTGATAATAATCTGCAGCAAACTGGGTTAGGATTGCTTCAAGTTTATCCTAGGGGTATCGACGTACCTGCGTCGAGCAAACAAAGTTGCGAAATCGGGGGAATAGGATGACATGGTGAATTGGACATTGGGTTTTGATTTATAAAGGAAGTGTCGGAGCACGGTTCCAGGGACTATGTCTGTGGTGGACGGACGACCTTTTTCGATAGCTGTTCGGATAATTCTCTTGCTGTTACTCTTTTCCAGTTCCTAAGTGGCATTGGTCAGTGTCAAGTGTGTGGATTAGAGTAAAATGTCACCTACTTTAACAACAGAATCCCGCATCTCATGCAATACGAAAAAGCTCTCTTTGTCCGCACTGATCAAGATGATAGCCACAGAGTCATCTTTGTTGATATTGATGTTATCGTGTGGCAGGTTGTCGTGCAGGTCGAGGAAGCTCACATACATATACAGGTATCCTCTGCTGTTGAATCCGGGAAGGCAAATTGGAATCCAGCTCTCACCACCACCCGCTTTGACGCCGTCCGCTTCAAAGATCATATTAAATATCAACTGCAAATCTCCCGGATGCAAAGAATGTTTTTTCGGCCGAACAACGCTTACAAGTCTCCCACCGGCGACAACGAGCCCATAAAGGAGCGGGTCTACCCTGGACCTCAGGAGAATGCTGTTGATTTGCTGGCGATGTGCTTTCCGGAGCTTCAAGCATTCCAACGCGGAAAGGAGGGTTGACGGAGATCCCTTAGTAAAACTGTCCGCCAGAGACGATAGCAGCGATTCGGTTCCTTGCAACGGTCGCCGCAAATCTGTGGATGGGCGAACAGCAAAAATGTGCTGCAATGCAGGAAGGGTCAATGTAGAGAGAATTTGCATGTAGAGAGCGTCGAGCTGGTTCCGAAGCTGCGAAACGCTCTCAAGTAGGCGACTTATCGCGACAAGGTGGAGCGGGCCTTGTGACAGTATAACAATTCTGGTTCGTCCTGCAGAAAAGCTCCTAAGAGGATTGCTAGAATCTTGATGGAACGAAATTATGGTTTGAATAATGGCGATGTAGGGAGATATTAACCCATCATCTCCGTGCCTGGTAAAAATTGGCTTGCCCGCCGAAGACAGTATAAAAAAATGCTTCCTTTTCTGTCTCCATTTTTTCAAAACTTCATCTACAAATAGCGACCGCGTGAGTTGCCTGAGCTGTAATATCTCGAACTGGGGTAGAACTCACCACCGTCCTCGACAGCTGAGAGCTCTTCGAGTGGCCCAAATTCGTCTTCAAAATCTAGACCAAGGTCATCTTCCTGAATCTCAAACCCGCTATGGTCAAATATATTTGCTCGTCTCCTTTTTGTCTCCCAACTAGCCAGTTGTTGGTTTGTCGAAGCAAAATCACCAAATATACTCCCAACTTCAGCCGGGGTTCCTGCACCCGGAACAGAGGATTTGGCACTGGCCGAGTCTGCTATCTCACTGCCCTTCCCACTTCCAGGTTGGTTCAAATCGCCTTTGAACCTCAGGCTCTCCTCACACCCGGATTTTGCCCCTAGTAGCGAGGCTTCTTGGGCAGCCTGTGAATTGATATCCTGCAAGGAGAGAGCCGTAGTAGCCCTAGACTGAAGATTTTGTTTTGGAGCATGTCGGATGGGAAGCACAGAATCAGCGGCTCGTGCGCCCGGAGCCCTTGTGCTTGGACGTGGAGGGAGCGGAGGACGAGAATCCCCGTGATGTACCCGTTCTTTGGGTACCGAGGATGGAGGCGTCTCTGAGTGATCCTGATTACCGGATGCCTTTGACGGATATACGTCAAGGCTACTGCTTTCTTTGCTCGTATCCATTGAGCATGGTTCGCCCGTGTGCAGCTTTTCTTATGATGCGCACTCTTGTAGCTTTCCAGAACCCAGCATTGTGAATAGAATACGGACAAACGTATTCAACGATGATGAATCAAGAAAGAATTTTGACAGAATGGGCTGTTCGTTGATATCGCCGAAGTTGTGATATGTAACTAAATGGTTGCTCGAGGTTGAAACGTGAGGTCATCAAAGCTGCGGTGCGGAGTGCCTCAAGCTAACAAAACCACCGTGTCCTTCGTCCCATTGAGCTTTGAACCCACCGACAGAGCCTACTGAAGTTGAAGCGTCTTCCGCTTGAAGATGACGGCGGACCTGTTCATTCGAGAGTCATCCTACTGTCCGGCGCAATTATGAGTCTGGATCCTGGCAACCTGGGGAGGTCTTCGTCTCCCGCAAGCTCCGAAGCTTCGCTGCCGAAAAACAAAATCCGCGCATTTGAAGGTACGCAATAAGCGAGCCACGTTTGCTCCCTTGAAAGAGCATACACTGACTGCTGCGGAGCTCTAGATGGACTCAAAAAGGACAAAGGCTATCGCCGCTATGCGTCCAACGTCGAGCGGGCACTGTCTCTGTTCGACACGGCGCTACAAGAATGGGCGGATTACATTTCCTTCCTGAGCCGGTTACTAAAGGTAACAAGCATGAGAAAATACTATATCTTCACAAAGCTGAAATATCATGGCGCTCGCAGGCTCTTCAATCCCACCCTCCATCTTTGGCAGTCGTTCCGGAGAAGGCCACCGTTGCAAAGAGACTCGCGCAATGCTTGAATCCTTCCCTCCCCTCTGGTGTGCACCAGAAAGCGCTCGAAGTGTACGGCTATATATTTGCACTATTGAAGGTATCTTTGGCCGGGACCACTGTCTTTCTATCACAAACAGTGACTTATAGATTTGTTTAGCCAGAAGGCCTATCGCGCGATCTTCCGCTCTATCTCCCAGGAATTGCGCCGACCCTTACCTTTGCCTCACTTTCCGTTCGGCCGCTATTTCTGTCGCTAATTGAAACCTATGTTGCTAAGCTGGATTCCGCGTGTATTCGGCCTGCGCTGAAAGCTATTCTCCTCTCGTTGCTTCCCGGCTTAGAGGAGGAGACCAGTGAGGATTTCGAAACCACGCTCAGGATTATCAATCGGTTTAAAGACATTTCAAGTGGAGGGGAAAATGACAATATATTCGATTCGCCTACTCATAGTCAATATTTCTGGCAGTGCTTGTTCCTCGCGTCTATAACCAACCCCACGCGGAGAATGGGCGCATTGGCCTATTTAAATCGCTATTTGCCAAAACTCGGCGGCCATTCACCACGGGGTGCTTTATTGAACCGCTCACAGCCCGAAGAGGAAGCAGATTTATCGGCTTTGATCGCTTCGGTGACTTCTCCTGAACCTGGTCTTCTTATCCGATGTTTTGCAACTGGTTTGACGGACGACCAGCTACTTGTGCAAAGGAACTACCTGGACTTGCTTGTTACTCATCTACCTCTCCACTCCCCGGTTCTCCAAACACGTATTACTGCAGATGACCTGGAACTCTTAGTTGCTGCTGCGGCAGGAGTGGTCATCCGGCGAGATATGAGCTTAAACCGCAGGCTCTGGGCATGGTTTCTGGGGCCTGAGCTAACAAACGATTCAAATGAAAGTGGAGATATGGATTTACAGTCCATCACTAGTGGGCATTCAGTATCGCAATTAGACAAAGAGATGCCTAAATCCCAATATTTTGCACATTTTGGTTTACAGCCACTTGTGAACAGCATCAGAAAAAGGATTGCCAAGGGCTCCATAATTCCACAGGAGCGAGCCAAACCATTCCGGATCTCGCTGTCCTTGATGGACCGATGGGAGGTTGGTGGGTTGATTGTGCCAGAGATATTTCTCCCCGTCATGCGAAGTGTCCAGGAATACAATCACATCGCCGCCTCGAAAGCCAAGTTTGACGAAGTGCTCCGATCAGCGAGTGCTTTCTTTGATGGAGTTGAAAGCAGCCTAATATTCTCTGAGCTACTCACCCTAGTACTTGGCTCGACTCAAGATGGTGCTTCCAGTCAAGCCCTTGCAAACCTACGGCTCGCGAATTTTGTTTTGTCCCATTTCAATGTCAAAGAGGAAGAAATGCTTACTGTTCATATTCCACTCTTACTCCTTGGGACCCTTCTCACCATGAATACTTTGTCGTCCGTTGGACAAGGCTCGGAAATCTCTAAATTAGCATTTGATGAAGCGTCTTCTATTGCCCACAACTTACTAAGTCTAATACCTAGCAGAGCCCTTGTCGACAAGGTGTCAGAGCAGCAACCGCCTGGTCAGAAACCGAAGATTACGAAAAATTTGACATTGGACGAAATATCGACACAACTGCGTGTGTTTTATACTACGACGAAAGATAGTCTTGAGGGTCGTGAATCGCCATTTGGTCCGGAAGTTCTAGCAGAGTTGCTTCTCTCGGAGGCCCACTCACAAGTCCTGGATGCTCTTGAATCAGAAAATCGGCATTTGTGGTTAAGGGACCAAATGAACTTTCTTGTCTCAATGCTCAAGAAATCGCCCAGATCGCAGATATTTGAAGCCGGGGAACTGTACCGAGCAATGCATGATAAGATATGCGTCGCCAATAATGCGTCAGACGTTATGCCTATGTCTACACTTTCTGCGATATGCTCTATTGTTACAGCATTGTACAGTATCCACGAGACTGGCCTATATATCTCATACGACCAAATCTGTGAGATCGTTCCTAGTTTGGCGCAGCAATTGTGGGAGCAATTATCTCCATCGAGCCCTAAGTTCCATGTAGAAGCGGTTCGTGGCTTGTGGGCCTTGCATTCCGTCTCCTGGCGAGATCATTTGGTGGAGGCTGCAATAAGTTCGTTAATGATCTCTTCCACCGTTTCAAGTTCGTCTCATAGGACGACGGTGGATCATGTTGAAAAATTCTTTGTTCTCTGGAACCACAGCTACCAGGCAGGCAGTGGTCGTACTGCATCAAGAGCCATTGGAGAACATCTGTCAGACCATAATTCAGGCCGAGACCCGCAATCAATCTACAAATTATCGCTATTGGAGCGGCCACTGTTCATGTCATTGGACCTACTATCTACTGGCCCGGGCAGGCCTTATTCGATAGTTAAGCATTGGATGCAAGAAACATCAACGGTATATCAGTATGTTTCCGCATTTTATTTTGAACAATTGTTAGAAACTAAGAAATCTTTTAGGGTTCTAAATATCCTAATCTCAAAACTTTCCGAGTTCCGCTGTCTCAAGCTTTCTGATAAAGATGATTCCAATGATCCTAGATCGCGGCATGGGCTAGAAGATGAGGGTCGATGCTATTATCTGCTTAAAACGGTATCGAACATTCTTGCGGCACTGAATCATACAGGTTGGAATGCTCTCACATCTAGGACCATTGCTAATTCTAGCAAACAAGGCCTCCATATCGATGTTGAAGGTAAGCCGAGTGGTCCTCGTGGGAGAAAGAAGTCACAACGCTGATAATCCCATAGATGGTTCCAGCTTCCAGATCACGCTCGCGCAACTGTCGGTACAATTGCTTAAGAAAACACAACAAGGCTCCACAGACATGAGTCGCCGTGGGGAACAGCTGCAGGAGGTCGCACTTATCCTTTTGCACCAGCTGCTCTTAGGCCCTGGTGCTGAGTCGCTTTATTATCTTGGCCTTGATACTGTGCTTATTGAGCTCCTATCGTCTCGCCTGGATAAGGACGAGACTGCTCTACAGAGCGCTATCATAGATGCCATTCTACCCTCTCTTAAAATCCGGTTCGCCTACGATACGAGGGAATTGTCTGCAGCTAAATCTCCGAAACATCAGCGCAGGGGTTCCCTGGAAGCATTATCACAAATGTCACGCCTATCATTTACTGGGGAGCGGTCGGAAAAGGATTATATCATTTCTCGATTACCACAACCCCCATCGCAGCTGCTACCGTGTTTACTGAAAGGTATTTGTTCGAAGAGCGCTAGGCCAATCATTGATAAATGGGTACATTTCCTAATTGAATGCCTGCCGTTATATTTGGGGATCGTCTTTCAAGTGCTTTTGAAACTTGTAGGATGCCTTTGCAAAGAAATCAAGGCTGCTTACCAGGAGCTACAGCTCATGTTCCAGCGGTCTGATGATACGCCTCACAATCGATCAGAACAGGTTACAATTGCTCTACTCGCGGCGCTAGAAAATTGCATTGCAACGGCGCATGACCGTTTACTACTCGAGGAGGCTCACGCTTCAGACACAAAAAGCCCTGAGCAGCCTCAAAGCTTTTTCGGAAACATGGTTTCGGGAGTGTTCGCTGCGGAAGCTAGCCAGGCCCGCAGTGCTACCGCTAACGACCGGTTAACTGTTCTCCTTTGCTTCCAAGATGCAGTGCGCCTGTGCTATTCAATCTGGGCGTGGGGCGACAGTGGCAATAGCAAAGATTCACGAGATTCGGAATGTCAAGCTTCCTTTCAGTACACATCACTCAGGATGCGGAACCGGTGCCGTCGAATCTTGGAACATTTATTTACCGCGGAAACACTCGAGTGTTTGGAGACGCTGATCGAACTCTGGCGGACGTCAATCGACGGAGCTAACCACAGTTCAGGGAGATCCATCTTCAATCTGCTCCATACTTTGGAGGGCTCTAGGCCGAAGGTAGCGATCCCTGCAATATTCAACGCGATCTACAGTCGAACGAACCCGACAGCCTTGGATCCGAGTCGCAAGTCCGCGATGACGTCCCACTTGACTGAAGCGGATCTGGCCGCCTTTCTAGTTATGTATTCTAGATCGCTAGATGAAGATGTCTTGGATGAGATTTGGGTGGACTGTACAACATTCTTGCGCGATGTTTTGAGTAATCCTTTCCCGCATCGCCAAATCCTATCACGACTACTTGAATTCACGGCAATCCTAGGTGAAAAGATGGAGCATACGACTTTTGGAGAGGATCAGCGGGCCAAGAAGGATCTAGGAGTGAGTCACCGTGACTATGAAACGATATTATGATCGGAATTGACTTGATATAGGACATACTCTTGAGGCTTCTCACAGCTATCTCTACAAGTAAACCAATGGGCCTATCTCAAGACCCGTCTTCAGCGTCTCGCGCAATGCAGGCTGACAACCAGGGTGCTTCTGGCAACAAATATCAAGGAATCGGACCGGACGATGTTTACAGTGTCTTGTCCTCCATTCTTCCAGCCCTGACCACGTCTCTGAGCGAAGCAGATCGCATAAACTCTGCTATGTCCAACATCTCAACAAACATACTTGCTCCTCTGATTCACTCTCGCCTATTCCCCCAAAGCGTCAACAAAAGTATGCTGGATTTGCTTCAGCAGATGTCAAAAGTCCCGAGTGCTTCCAAATACTGGAGAAAGGACGTCGGTGATGCATTCAACGACCCAAAATTCTTTGCTATGAAGCTTGACCTTGTCAAGAGCAATTGGCTAAGTCTTCTCCGGCAATGGACTCTTACGGACAAAGAGCGTCTTCCGGAATTGCTCTCCCGGCTCACACAACCCGCATCGGCAGGGATAATGTTTGGCGTTGGCGCTTCTGCGGCTCGTCTCGAGGCGGATCGTAAATCCCAGCTCAACCTGCGTAAGATCGCCTTGTTAATTTTAGCAGCAGATGAGGATCATTTTAGCGGTGACCTTTCCACCCTGCAGCAAAAGCTGGAGGACCTCTTGACCGCTACCCATGTATCCTCACCATCCTCCGCGACCAGGGCCGAAGTATATATGGTCCTTCGGTCACTCGTCCTCAAAACTTCCACGATTCACCTGGCGCAATTCTGGCCCATGATCAACGCTGAGCTTCAAGATGTGGTATCTACCATCGCCCCGGGTCGAGAATCGGAAACATACAACCCATACTCTCTTTTACAGGCGTGTAAACTCCTGGAAACCCTACTTCTCACATCCCCAGACGATTTTCAGCTGCAAGAATGGCTTTTCGTCACAGACACGATCGATGCCATATACCCACCGGATCAGTGGCAGTCCGTGGCACTGGCGGACGAGGTTGCGCAAGCTCTAGGCACTGGCCAAAACGGCTCCATGTCCCACCTTCAGGAAGGCGGCGAGCGTGAAGGCGATTTCAACCGCCTCTGGCTTGGTACGGACTTGAGTCGGGAGACCGCCAAAGACGAAATCGTGGACAGGTTGCTCAGGCCTTTTTTTGCACGGCTAAGTATCCACGCCTTCGAGAGCACATATAGCATGGAAAACCCCGACTGGGGCGCCTGTAAAAATGATCTGCTTGCGGACTTGTTCAACGACTTCACGGTTGCGAACTGAACGGCTAATTATTCCATATAGCCGGCAGTTCTCTGTTCCTTTTATCCAATGTAAATGTACATACATACATAGTTATCTTCACAAACAGAACTTCTGACTGACAATGGGAATACTGTGCGCTCATCTGAAGCCGAGGTGGCCTTGAGGCGAGTTGGCCAAGTGAGAATTGCGAGATGTGGCCGTCGGCTCGGCTGGCGGAATCGAATCGGTGGCAAGGACTCCATGCTCTCGTGTTTGGCCTAGGCTGATCGCGGCATCCCTTTTGCGGTGCGCGAGTGGCTTGCAGGGGAGTGCGGTGAGCAACAAGGCGTTACATTTTTCTTCCTCTCTCCTTTTAATTAAAAAAAAAAAAAAGGTCAGATAAATAATCTCGCAAATCAATCTTTGTCCTTCACATCAGTCCAACCTCCAGCATCTCTCAATTCAACCGCCCGTCACCAAAAAGTCGACTTTCTTCCCCTGAAATTCAATTTGTTTTGCCAAGCCAGACAAGCAAACAGAGCAAAATCGACCCTTCGTTTCAACCTCAACGCTCGGTTTCGTGTCGCTTGAATCGCGAATCGCCTTTTTTTTTATACAATGGCGTCCAGAGCTTTTTCGCCGCTGATGCGATCAATCGCAAAGACGCCTGTTTTCCCCCGCGTCCGTGGGGCAGCTCCCTTTTCAACATCCGGCCGACTGCTTAACACGGCAGAAGCTGCCCTCCCCAGATACAGACCCCTTGGAGCCTTTCGAGCCGGGTAAGATTGCATCTCTGCCTTTTGGATTTTCATGCCATGTGGACAGTTCAACTGACTTGTGTCTCTTATTCGTAGGATATTTGGATTCCTCTTCGGTTCTACTGTTGCCGGCGCATCCATCTATTATTACATACTGGAAGAGTACAGACTGTCCAATGAGACGCTGACAGAGGACATCTACGTACGTTACTGCATTTAAGAAAAACGTCGTTTGTTCGGTCTGCCTTTTTCGAAACACGGAGTATACGTATCCTCGTGGAGGGGGTGTACACCTGTGTTTATTTCCAGGACGCCAAAATAGAGTCACCTTCAGAAAGCATCACAAGCTTCCTGGAGGTTTTTAGTACTGTTTTGCATGGATAGACTAGACTAGATTTCTCTCAGTTTGATATTTCGAGGTTCTCTTCTTTCCTTGGATCTAAGCTCGAGGCTGACGAGTTGTGCTTTTTGGAAATCTCTCGGGTTTTTATAGGCCTTGCAAGCTGCAACACAACGCCTTTCCACCTACGTAGTGGAATTGGAAGGCAAGCTGGACCAGTTGCAGAAAAAAAAGTAATGAATCAACTACACGGAGTGCCTGCTAGTGAAGATTCGCGTAATGACTCCCCTTCATTATCGGTATATCGACAGCCTTTTGCCCTTTCCGGGTTGCTCCGTTGCATGTGTTTTGATTGTGTAGTTCTGGTTGTAAGCTTAATATTCGGAGAGAGCCAAATTTCATGGCTGCTGGCCTGCTCAGTCTTCTAAAAGAGAGCAAGTTTAATATTGTAGATGCTGTCGTGCAAACAAGACAAACAGCGCCGCATACGGAGCGTCTATCACAACCTTGAGGCAACGCTCAACTTGACCTCAAGGCCATAAGATCACCATAATACATTATAACCTCTAGATCCAATGTCGCATTCTATTGAAATCCTGTCCACTGGCGGCTCCCATTCCAATGCGCCCGGATGGGCTTATGTTCCAGATGTCCGCCCCAGCGTCACGCAGCCGGGAAGGACTGGAGGACGAAAACGAGCTGTGCGGGACTCTGGAATCAGTCATGGAGACGGTTCATTAAGGCAACAGAATGCTATTCTAAAGCGCCTTGCTGAGTTTGACCGGGACAACCACAGAGACGTCCATATCCCGATTCCAACCAAGCAGAAGGATACCACCTCGAAAGGTATCCCTGATATCTCTGCTCTCCAGGCAGTTTGCCGCGTGGCTTACAACTGTTGTCTACAGGTTCACGGAGTAAAACAACCTCCAATGTTCGTCGTATTTTGATGTCTCAAAAGACTTTCAAAAACTATCTCGATGACGAAGAAGCTGCAGCAGCCCTCGCTCCACCCACACTACCCCGAACAACCGCTCCGCGAACAGGCAAAACTACATTAACTACTTCCAAACCTGCGTCGCGAACTTCCGAGTCCCCTCCTCCTGCTCCTCCCGTGGCGTCTGAACCTTCCGCATCCCCATTAATCGTTTCTGAATACGACAACGATCCTCTCCTCCGTTCATACGTTCCCTCCGCACCCTCGGATCGCATCTTGCAAGCTCTCCTCTCTGAGCCCCCACTTTCATACAATGCATCTCGCGCGAAATTTCCTGCTCATGCGAATCGCAAGCCTCCACGGCACTTTTGCGGGATATGCGGATATTGGGGCAAGGTAAAGTGTATCAAGTGCCGGACAAGGGTGTGCGGCTTGGATTGTCTACGGGTTCATGACGACACGACTTGTGAAAAGTTTTATGCTTGAGTTGGTGGGCACACATACTGACCCCCAATATCTAAGTTATGACTTCATGGGTCTCCAATGAGGAAATACAAATCCCCCGGCACGCTGTCAGGGCTTCGCCCGAGTAGTATGGGATGGAGAGGAAAAGAAGGGCTCAGCGTAATGGTCCTCAAATCCAAGTCTTGCGATAGGCGCTGGCGTGCCTAGACTAATCCAAACCAGACAGATACGAAACAATGTTTGAAGCCACTTGAAGATAAAGGTTACACCAAGTCGGGCCGGAATGTCAAATATCCATTTATATGCTGTACAAGCTCCAGCGTCCCAAGGAGATGACACCTGATTCTTGCCAGTAGAGTTATGGCCACCGGCCTTATTCGCAGCCTACGCGTCCGGCATCTATGAGGGGCATGGAAATTTGAAGGCATCAGCAAAAAATATAAGTGGCCTTTGTAAGGCGGTCCAATTCGTTCCGGTATTTTTGGACTGTGAATTAGAAGGACATGATAATCCTGGCTCCTGCGCATTAGCACCCATTAGGAGATTCATCTTCCAGATGTTGGATTGGAAAAGTGGTGCCTTTAGGGTTACCCTCGAGGTGATTGTATAGATGTACGGTGCAAAATTGTCGTTGCGAAGAAGAATTTATGTTCTGTGGATATCACAATCAAAGATAATAGATGTACAGTATAAGAACATTGTGCCTAGGCCGCGACCTTGGTTGATTGTGAGATCAAAATACACGCCGCGAAAATGATCATTCGTGTCACTGAAAGTATATTAGCATTTCAGCCGAATACCAGCACGTAACTCCCCCTCACGAATCTCGAACATAACTTGAACTCCAACAAACACCGCCGCACATGCACTCGCTAGATATGCTAGGCCTGCATATGACCCCAGTATGCCGCTCAATAAACCTTGTAAACCTTCCACCCCCAGCGCAAACCCAACCAGATTCGCCATCATCATCATAAGTATGTTACCGACAGCGCCAATGCCACACAGCACCCGATATGTATTTGGCCTCGCTCTCCACTTGTGTGCTGGGAACATCAGTGAAGCGAGAACCTCGGGAAGAACGAAAAGAGTAATGAGCCAGCCCCACATCAGCAGACGGAGATTGATATCGTGCCAAAGAGCCACGAACGTAAAAACAACAAGGAAATTTATTACGCCACGGATTTTAGATACGAGAGGATTGCGATTGTTTTCGCTTCGGCTGCCCCCAAGTGGAACATAGAGGTATCGTACCACCCATCGATTGAATGAGCGGTGCCAGCTTCGCCAAAAGGCAAGCGCCGAGTAGTTGTCCGACATGCAGCGTACCATGTTTTCAGGGGGGTCAATTCCGTCAATCAACGCCCATAGACGGAAGAATCGCCATGGAATCAGAAGCTTGAGCCAAATAATGTGGAGATTGAAGTATCCGAGCATGCTGAGTTGGAAAGGGGTATAGACGGACCAGTCCGGGGAGGATTTGGAAATTGCGACGACGTAAATGTAATGAAGGATCAGTTCCATGCAGAGCAGTGTGAGAAGAAACCGAATGCCATATAACAAAGTGCGAATTTTCGATATTGAGTGTAATTGGTAATGTTGTTGGTGAATGTAATCATTGAATGTAAGGATGGGCCCAGCAAGGTAAAGGGGCGAATAGAGGGCATAAGAAAAGTAGTTCCTAAGATTGAAATATGCCGGGTCAGCAGGAGTGGCTATGCGATCACGCTCCGACAGATTTGAAGGATCGAGTTGCTTCTTCTTTGGTATGTTAGCAGACGTAAATAATAAAGTGGATGTGAATACGTGGATATACCTCAACTGGACTTCCAGCGCGATTGTCTAGGCTCCAGTAATAGTCCAAATTAAAACTTATTAGGCGGAGAACGGTTATGTTGAAGAGGACTTCCCATCGCGAAACGAGCCCACCCCAACTATCCAGCCACTTCCCCCAAGTGAGAAGATTACCATCATCGCCTAGGCCAAGTGCAGAGCCGATAGATGTGGCGATGCTTGTATACTTGTATCCATGCAACAGTTCGTTCGCAAACAGGATACCAATATTGAATATCCAAGTTGCCGCGGGAATGTAAGACCGTGGAAACCTTTTCGCGATATTGAAATTGATGAAAAGTATCCCCAGAACCTTGAGCGCAGAGAATCCGTGGAGGACGGCCAGGAAAACCAATGAAAACCAGTAATCAAACGATACTCGTTGTTCAAATCGTGATCGGGCGGCAGCTGCGGTCTGACCTGAAGCGAAGTTGCCTTTGCTTGAAGAAGAGACCGACGATTTGCAGGGGAAAAGGATATTGTAGAGCCGGCGAAGTAGCGGATGGAAAACGACTAAGATGGCCATATAACGAACGTTGTCCCGAAAACTAGCATATTGCGCATCCGAATTGTCCTAAAACAACCGCTTGCACGTAAGAATGGAGCTAATACATAGAACAAGGCAGTACGAGAGCTTTGACCTACCACCTTGCGGCCAGGTATCCATCCGGGAGAGAGGAGTTCCGAGTACTTTGAGTAAGTTGGGTGGGATTCTACGTGAAGGCTCAGCGTCTAGCCGAAAGGCATTGCCAGTTCGTGCTCACCCTGAGAGACATCAATGGCAGTCTTGAACATCAGTGGGACGGCCACAATAAAAACGACATAGTATATATAGAACTCGGGTGTGTTCCATCGAGGCGGAGAGGCGCCATTCTTTGGTTGTTTTGAGGTTGCCGCATCTTGAGTCCGAGTGTGATTCTGGCTTGCTGCGAGGTTCGGAGGCGTCGTCGCTGAGACTGTAAAGCGAGTGTCGAGGATATCCAAGGAGTACAGCCTCCGCAACCAGGTCAGCAGGCTCATCTTAGCGTCAACATCGGTAAAAGAGAACGACTGTTGCTCCAAGTCCCTCCGGCGCGATGTCGCCCCTGACCTGAGATTCCCCTGAGCGCGTTGACATCTGATGCCAAGACATTAATCTTAGGTAAGATATTAGTCAGCTCACCTCTAACTACATCCGACGTCACAACGATCTGGACAAACGTCTTTTGCTGTCCACCCGGTAGCTTCAGGGTTAGTCAAGGAGACGCTTCAACGTTGAGTGCAGACAGATGGATTGAAGCTGTCCGAATTGGCCAATCACTTTGCCGTAGCCGCGGAACCTGATTCGCAAGGATCCAAGATTTGCTACCCTGAGCTTCCATGTTGGCAGCATATGATCTCATAAGGGGCTGGAGCTCCCGGCGTATAAGATGCAATTCAGCTTCGTTGGAGCTAAAATAATGTACTTATGAAGTGGACAGCGCTCGAGACTCATGTTCCCACAGAGATTATTCTTTAGAGCAATACGTTCCAGCAGCCCCTTTACCTCTCGCCCAATCTCGTTACGTGCAGCAGTAACTCCAACGCGTTCAGGTCTATCGAGTATAAGAATGGCATCGTCACAAGCTGGATCTGGCGGCACCTTTCAGCCTGTTAAAGAGAAACAAGCGCAGCAACTACCAGGGTAAGTCCAAGTACTGAGACCGCCAAAATGGAGAGGCATTCAATTGACTCTTTCAGTCATGAGAAGCATATGACCCCAACCAGCGAGTCTACCAAGCTGGAATCTGAAGGGGGTTTCGTGGAATATGTCGGATCTGGAAAGCTAAAGGACAAAAAAGTCTTGATCACTGGTGGAGAGTACGTTTCTCTACAACTCTTGTGGTCGGGCTGTCATGCTGACTCTATGCAGTTCTGGAATCGGACGGTCGGTTGCTATTCTGATGGCTCGCGAGGGAGCGGATGTGACAATCGTATACCTTCCTGACGAGCAGGATGATGCCAACGTGACGAAAAAAGCAGTGGAGCAAGAAGGCAAAAAATGCGTACTATTCGCTGGGAATCTAATGGACAATGAAAATTGTAAAAAGGCAGTGGACGAGCACGTCAAGGCGTATGCTTTACCCTTCCCATCTCCCCCCACTATATTGAAGTATGGAAGCTTACTCGTGAGAAACAGATACGGCCGTGTCGATGTGCTCGTGAACAACGCCTCGAAGCAAATTATGTGCAAGGATTTTGCTCAATTGACCTGGATAACGTCTCAGCACCTTTCAAGCAACATTTTACAGATGTTTGCCATGACAAATTTGCTTTACACATATGAAGAAAGGGAGCTCGTGAGTGCTTCATTCAGTAGTATCTTTCGTGCGGTTAGCAGCTAATCGCTCTCTCAAAGCATCATCAATACAACATCAGTCGTCGCCTTTCGAGGAACGGCTTCAATGGTTGATTACGCCTCCACGAAAGGAGCCATCGTTGGCTTTACTAGAGCTTTAGCGAAGAACTTGACGCCTAAGGGTATCCGGGTGAATGCAGTAGCGTAAGTCCTCCGTTGCTCTGACCAAGTTACGTTTTCGGAGTGTAACTAAGCCTTTCCAATAGTCCTGGTCCTGTCCACACCCCGCTCCAACCTGCATCTCGTCCTCCTGAACAGATGGAAGGATTCGGGTCGGATGCCATGATTGGACGCCCAGGCCAACCCAGTGAAATTGCTCCCACGTATGTATGGCTGGCGAGCAAAGAAGGCGCTTTATACTGTAAGATCCAACATCGCCGTCTTTCAACAATTTTGATCGCTAACACTTTTAACTAGATGGTCAAATTTTGCACCCTTATGCTTTGGGAGACTAGAAAGCCTGCGTTTTTATGGAACATTGAGAATACGGTCATCAACTTTTCTACTTAAGAAAAAATGACCTGTAAAACATCTCGTATGGCATGTGCCCTAAGTCAAATCAACAGTTTTAACACTGCCTTAAAATGGACGTGTGGTGCATAACATAAGAACAAATCGAGCTTGCATTCAGGATGATGAACCCATGCATAACTGCAGTTCACAAATGCTAGTAGTAAAAACAGAACTTCCTTTCGATTCAATTTGAAAATGAACTAAACTAAGCGCAGGTCTTTCTTCACTGCAACCAGAGTCTTCCATTATGTCAAAGTGTCTCGAGCGCCAGGCGATTCTTTTGACTCAATGTGCATCTTATCTTCAGGGCCGCCAGGGCCTTCAAAATGCTTCGCTTTGCTCAATCTAGACACCAATAGGGGGTTAGAAATGCACCAAAAAACAATCCAGGCGTTTCAACGTTTAGCTTACCGCCCGCGATCATCATATCGACCACCCTCTTCTTCAGGAATCGGTCTATTGTCTCCCGTGCCAGTCGTAGCGGCACTACCGTATTTCACTTCTGACCCGGGGAATCTGCGCTCAACATCCGCATTTACACCCGATTCATCGGCTTTGACTTGTGTGTTAGTTTCTCGAGTGTTCCCCCGATTTCAAGAGGAAAAGTCGGGAACTTACTGCTGGTGCTTTTGGGACCAACTCCTTGCTTTGCTTGATAGGAGTTGAGGTCTCTCTCGGCTTCTTTTGCGAGGTTCGACATGGTGATGAAAATGTGCGATGGATTCAACGGGCCAAGTGATTAGCTATATCAGCAGAATACCAGAATATCTGGCATGGCAGTTAATGGGGCAAACAGGTCCTTTTAAACCAGACAGTGCCTGGTCAGTGCAACATCATCTTGTTATATGGAATAATTGCATCATAGGGTCCCATTACCCAGTGGGGTGGAGTGAGTCCATCCAGATTGTGGTTTCTGCAAAGTTTCTACAGAAGTAGTTATGCGGGAATCTGGCACGTCCGCCATCCAAATTAACTAGTGCGGGAGGCTCGCCGCTCTGTCCTCGCCCCTTCGTAATATCCTCACCATTGGCCTAATCTCTCTTGAATTTCAAAAAGACGAGGTTTGGACTACTTGAAATCGAGTAAACAGCAACATTCTTTCAGCAGAGGCCGTATAAGTACATCCCATTAAGCATAAATCCGTACCCCAATGCATCCAGTGATGGCTTTAATGTCCTCAAAGAGGTGTGAAATGTGTGTAAAGTAGCTAATATTCCGGTCCTTGCGGCCTGCAAAAATCATTCCAACAACCTCCCCCTTTTCTGTGAAAACAAAGGATCCAGAGTCACCAGGAGCAGCAAACCTCTGTCCAGACCTGCCCAAAATAGCATGTTCCTTTGTTACCTTCATTTCCTCCTTGCCATGTTGATTGATCCTGGTTGCCACATGAATACTCTTGATGCTATTATACCACCCAGCTGTAAATCCTGTTGACTGGCCAATTTTATAAAGGCACTCAGTACCACCGCTTCTATATTTGTCCAAAAGCTTGGCCATGTCCCAACCCTTGAGGGTGGTCAGGCCTTCGATGCTGGGAATCACTGGTGTTCCATGTACGGTGATCTACTTTAAGCATTAGTCCACAGAGAACAACATTGATGTTGAAAACATGAACATACATCATTGTCCCTGACACGCTGGTCTTTGACATCAATTAGTGCCCAGTCCATAGTTGTCTCCCAACTGCTGTATCCTCCCAATACTGGTTTTTCGCGATATCCAGAGCCTGCATAGACATGCCCGAGATGGTGATTTTCAGAAGCACAAAATTGTTCAATATGTGACTTCCTGACCATATGCTTCCTAAGCAAGGCCTCAATGCGCTCATATTCCTTCATGTCAGGTTGGTTTACAGATTCACCAGCTTGGAGAAGTGCCCGATCACTTTTGATAAATTTTTCAAGTATGGCCAAGTCATTTTTGATATCATGCATGCTCGGCTGGTCAACCCTCAAATATTTCTTGGCATCAGCATCATTGGCGCTGATCCCATGGGTATACCATCTGGTAAGAACTAATAAATCATCAGAGACATTCCAACACGATTTTCAGAGACAATAGTACTTACATTGTGGCGGTGCGATATTTGCCTGCTTTGTTGGATCAACACAATGGAAGCAAGTCAGGCCCAAGCGTAGCCATTCACCAGTGGCATCTTGGATTTCAACCCACCCACCAAATGTTCCAGATGAAGTAGAGATCCCGCGCTTTCCTAGGCTCAAACCAGCATGCCCCCCTTCCTTTGGGCCATCCTGTGGCAATCTCCACTGTTCAAATGTATCACTTCTTTCAATTTCCCCCTTAACAATGCTCACACCAACTGCCTGTAGTTGGAAATGATTGAGGATGCCAACTATCTGTTCTCGAGTCTGTTTAAATTTGTTCTTGACAGATGGAGACACTGTGACAATGACCATTTGTGGATTCTGATCATTGGTGTCCCTTCCATATCGAAAACACTCCACAGCCCGGCAACCCTGGATGTCTAAATCCAAGATTGCATCACAGACAGCATCCCATACTGGATAAATTGTATCAGTGGGGAAGATGGGGCTATATTGCATAGGCTCAAACACTCGAGGGTCTGCTATCTCAACAGACATATCATTCAAATCCTTTTGAAGAAGAAGACCATGGATCTCTTTGCTGGCTTTAAGCCATGTCTCATCCAGCTGTGACTTTTTTGCATAAACCAGAACTGTTGGTACTCCAAGTTCTTCAGGATCCCACTCATTTCGCCGTTCAAGAAAGTCAATGTAATCATACACAATACTGTGTGTCTTTAAAATGGATTCGATAGCATGAAATAGCTGGTCGGAATCGTCGGTTTCTATAGCAAGAGAGTGGACAGAGGTGCGGCCCTCCAGCTCTCAAGTCTTCGTTGATGAATCCTTCGAGTCCAAGGGGTTCGTCTTCATTGTCGTTGCTTGAACCTCTCGTGCGCCTGGCACGGCCATCAGCTGAAAACACAGAGCCAGGACTCTCAGCTTTGAGATTTTGCACAAAAGCACATTCTGAAGGTGATGCCCAAACAATTTCAGTGTCTGATCCATGATTCAGTCGATTCGGAATGGGGTGGGCCATGGTAGTAGCCTTGTCGCCGGAGTAGGCTTCTGTCCAGAGCGATTGAGTAAAATTTTGACTTGAAGACAGCAGATGGTTTGTATTGTTGAACTCATCAACTGAAGGTGTTATTAAGGTGAGTCTCCCTTTTTATATCCTTGGTCAGTGGCCTCCATGTGCCATCAAGAGCTGGGAACTTACCGGATCCATGGCAGCTGAAGCATCTAGTTATTTGTTAATTGCTGCCAAAGAATATTCATTCATCCCTATTTTTCATCATAGTCCTCAAAGAAGTAAAGACAACAGATTTCAACAAACTTCCCAGTTTGTTTAGCACTGTCATTCGTAAGGAGAGCATTGACAAAAAGAAAAAGAGAAAGGATAGAAGAAAGAGAGATCTCTCAAAGGGAAGCTCAGAGAAAGCTGAGAAAGCCATCCATTATGAGAATAGTATAGCAAATGCTGATGAGAACAAACAGAAAAGCATCTGAAACAACCCATGAAAAATCCCTCGGGTGCAGCATAACTATAGCTCGGTATATAGTGCTTATGGCAGCTCTGATTGCCCCGAGTTGAAGCGCGGGAACCATGTCGTTGCGTAAAGAATCATTTCAAGAGCCAGGATTTTGGTGGATATCAATAACGACGCGCTTTGAGGAAAATTGAAACTCGGACCTTTTATGTCAGAGTGATGCCATTGACATTATTAGTGGCCATCCAACATGCTGAGGAGGCAGCTTCAACAGTCCTAGCAATTCAGCATGGTACTCTGAATCTCGGCTAGCATTATCGTAACTTTGTGAGCCCAGCCGTGTAAACTGATGTGATTTAGCAGGGGCGTAGAATAGAAGGTCAAGGCAGTACTTGACCAGGATGAACGGTCAGTCGATGTCATAGTTCCGCAGCAACACGGCCAGTCGCAACTCTCGAAGAGACGTGAGATTTTACCATGAGGATGTTGATATTGACCAGAAACCTTGGAAGTTCAGATTGTTGCGCCAAGCACGTCAGCCAGTGTGTGTCAGAAGTCAGAGGACGGAGTGTGGATTATCTCGAATAACTAGATGTAGATCACACGGGCTTTCCATTCAACACTCCGTGGCCGTAGGCAAAGATAGATCTGTTGATCAACGCTGCTGAACAGAAGATTCGTCGATGAGGTTCCCTGTGCACAGACCACTAACTAGTTATCCGAGCTCTTTGAATATCGAGATCACCAGCTCAATGCTAGTTATATCGATTTAGCCACTCAGGCTCAGTTCAATTGCCATGCACTTGGAGAAGCCAGATGTTATCAGAACTGGCTGTCCTGACATTATAACCCTGCTATATTCTAAATATGCCTCCTAGGCACTCGCTGAGGCAATATGCGACGTTAAAGGCATTCCGCGCCAGCCAGAGCTACTTTAAAAGCCGCCAGACAGGCCCTACTAGTGTTGGCCTGTACAGATATGCTTGCTTTTTGTCCTTGGGTCACTTGTATTCGCGTCCTTCTAGCTATTCGTTCAATGTCGGTCTATGCCATCTCGCGATATCTTGCCGCAGATCTGTTCAGAGTTTGTCAAACCATCTAAAGATACCAACAGCTAATAACCAATGCTCTAAATCGATACCCATTTCTACACGTCCCATAAGACGTCCAGGGACCATATCCCATGGTGCTACTAGGAATCTCTCCACGTGCGCTTACAGTGAATGTCGATGTTTCTCGTCCGATGCAAGAAGAGCACAAACATCCAGCGTGGCCCAGAATGCCGAAGAACAAACTGAAAATTTCAACTTGACCCGAGTTAACGAGTCACGCCCAGAGGAGTGTTTCCTAGGAGCTTACCGGAAAACCGAAGATGAGACCGCCTGTTCATCTCCGTACACGTATACCATGTCACAACCGGGAAAGAATAGCATCCCAAAGTTTATTGATGCGCTTCGAACGTGGCTTCCTGCCCCCGCAACGTCTGTAGCGGTGATCCAAAGCATTGGGCAAGATATGGTTGATATATCTTTGATGTGAGTTTGGCATTTCCCGCGGATGCTACTTATTTCTGACACTTCGCAAGGCTAGATGATGTCCAAGATGATTCAGAACTTCGACGAGGATCCCCTGCCGCCCATGTAGTATATGGCCGTAGCCAAACCATCAATAGCGCCATATACTCCCTTATGAAGGTCGCCGACCGCTTGGGGCAACTTCAAGATGAAAAATGTCGCGACATATTCTACGGTTCGTCAAACTTCAAAATCAGGGTCTCGATCAACATTCATCACTCAAACTAACGCATATCATTAGAGGAATCGAGGAACCTTTGTGTAGGCCAAGGTCTTGATCTTCATTGGCGCCAACATGTGCAGTGCCCTTCAATCCAGGAGTACATTACCATGGTTGATAACAAAACAGGGAGCTTTTTCAGGCTGGTAACACGGCTCGTGGTGGCGGAAACGGCGGAACCGCCTAATTCAGTGAACCTTTTCCAATTCATCACTTTACTAGGGAGGTATTATCAAATTCGAGACGATTACCAGAATCTGGCTTCTGAAGAGGTAAGAATCACACATTGAGATCTCGATGCCTTTATGAATGCGCTCCATATTTCCGTTTTGTGTTACTCCGCTTACGTTTCTTTTTGATATTTCAAGTACACCACCAAAAAGGGCTTCTGCGACGATCTATCCGAAGGCAAATTCTCTCTGCCCATGATACATTTCCTTCAAAACGCTCCATCGAAAACTGTAGACCAAGCGCGTGGTCTGATCTTTCACGGCATTGATTCGGATTCAAAACGCCCTCTCGATCTGGACTCTAAACGCTGGATCCTTTCTGAAATGAAAAAAGCTGGAAGTTTGGAATACAGTTACAATGTTTTAAAGGACATGCATGAGGCGATGTCCACGATGTTTAGCGATCTAGAAGCTGAGTTGGGAGAAAGTAGTAAGCTGAAAACATTTTTGTTGCGCCTACAACTCTGATATCTAAAAAAAAAGGAGAGAGAGGGGGTGGGGTTGTGTCAAAGAACTACTGGCTCAAGATATACAAGCCTAACCCCGATTCTTAAATGCGTCAGTGTATGTAAAAATGCTGCTAATTCTCCTGGATTTGGCCCAGCAAAGAACTGTAAGCCATGTCTTCCCTCCACAATCTAATTTTCTTCTGGAAATGCTCTTTGATAATCAAAGAATCCGATTTCTTCGAGCACTTCTGAACGAAATTATACCGTTCAAAACCAGGCATATCTTCCTTTGTAAGTTTTGATATTTTACGCCTCTTGAGATCTCTATCGAGTATTGGCATGAGAAAAGGTAGGCTTACACCTTGTTGCTTTGCCACTTGTAGAAGCTGACTTCAATAAGTAGGTAAGCTTATAGGACTCGAAACTTGCATCGGCCCTATACGCATACCTGTACCCTAGTCTGCTCCAGGGGCAGAAAGAAAACCACAGATCTTCGTAGGCATTGAAGGTGTGCACGTGGCTCCCGGACATACATTTTGAGAAATTTTGGTCGTAGGACGCCAAAGATAAAATAGGATCATTCCCTTAACAAGCTTCGTATCATTGCCGCAAATGCTGCTACGCCATTGTCACAAGCAGCAGGTTTGAACCGAAATAAAAGGGGATACCGCGAGTCGGGCAACCGGACCGAAGAATTGGCTAAGAAAGAATGTTCAAACCCAATGAGAGCGTCCAGGATTTGATGTCAAGTTGTTGAAGGTTCGACGGTTGTATAACCTCGACTCGTATGCCTAGGTACGACAGAAGCGCTGGGAAATCTCGGTATTATATCACGAAAATCATTAGTGGATATATATTTTCTCTCATCCTCCCGAGCAAACAAGACTGATTATCTTCCTGTCCCTGGTGCGTCGGGCCCAATCTCGCGCTGTCAAACCTTCAGGGTCTGCAATGTTTTTATTGGCTCCCTTGTTTACGAGCAGATGAACAAAACGCCAGTCCTTTCCCATGATTGCTGATATTAGTAGTGGACGACCAGATTTGAAAGTGAAATTCGGATCTGCACCTGCTTCCAGGAGTGCGTTCGCTGTGATTTGGTGGTTTTCGGTGTATGCGAGAGCAAGCGCCGTTTTCCCATCTTTGTCCCTGAGATCAACCACGTATGGGTCTTGGATGAACTCCAAAAGCAATTTAGCGATTTTGAAAGCACCTTTCTTTGTAGCCCACAGAAGAGGCGTTCGTTCGAAGGCCGGATCCGCTGCTCGTAGGCTGGCTCCCCTTCCGATCAGGAGTCGAATGATCACTTCATGGCCCAGGCAAACTGCCCAGATGAGTGGTGAACATTGTTTGACGGTATCCATTCCTTCAATGGAGGCATTATTATCAAGAAGAATATTCACAATATCTTCCCGCTCCGTGTGGACGGCCCATATCAGCGGCGTTCGCCCATAACCCTCATCCCGATACTCGATATCTGCTACGCACTGCTTCAGCAGGACGTTGATCGCTTCAATTTGAATTTGGCTATCTTTGTGTCTTCGGTGTTTTGAGACAAAAATCAACGCCTTATTGATGGATTCTTGGCTAAGCTGCGATCTCTTCCTGCTATCCTTTACACATTTCAAAATTGTAGCGATACTAATGCGGTTATCTTTAAGCGCTTTGGCAAATTCAGAGTCTGCTCTGCTTGATGTAAACTGGGTGGATTCTGTGCGTGAAGGATAGAAATGGCTGCTTGACAATGTTGTTAAACTCGTAAAGCTGCGGCTGGTCGAGCAGCTAAATGGACGTTGATAGGAGGCGATGTCCGTGCGAGTTGTTCTTCTATAAGGAGGTGCTGTTTCCATTTGATCAACTTGGAAGTCCGTGGATTCAGCGATGTGTGACACGGATGAATTGTCGGATAAGGGCGCCTCCGAGGTTTCAAGGTCCCCGCCATCCGTTCCGATACTCATTTGAAGGACGTGGCCTTCTAGTTCGTGCACCACTCTGGCATCTAGCTCAGAAGCTGGAATACCAAATGGCTCGAAAACTGGCATCGCATCTAGTTCGTGAATGGCATCTTGTGTTCCTGGAGCTGGCGAGTTCACTGCGCTTGGAGGCAATTAGTTATTTTATTCTTTTGAGAACCCCCTCCGTGTGTGGAGCTATAGGAGCGCACCACTTACATGTTTAACAACAAAATATATCCGTGCAACCGCGAGATAAGCGCCGACGAGCGCTTTTCTTGTAGATTCCGGTTGTTGTTAAGTAACTCTTTTGTATCATCGATAAATTTCGAGCATTCGTTCACCGTCCTCAGCTTTCCACGTTCCAGAAGTGCCGGTCTCGCATCATCAAGCGCCCGTTCAAATGCGGAGAGATCTTCACTGAGGCCACCATCATTCCGTGCTCGTTTTCCGCTCTTCGCAGTTGGCTTGGACAGGAACTTGAATCCACCGAATATGGATCCAATACCCGCCATCAGTACTCCGTAGTTCAGTTGCAAAGAATGAGTTGATCGCCAGAAATTCCGATGCTTGACACGAAGTGAATATACTCTGTGCGGCCAAGGATGGCTTTGGAGACGGTCGCAGCCTGATCCAAGGCTCGAAGGGAATAGATTCTGCGAGGGGGCTTATATTGAATGAGTGGCGTCGTGAAATTGCTTCGAGGCGAATGGCGCTGCACCAAGCACGCCCGCCGAACCTTAGGGGGCATGAACACATGGGCTTTCCCAACACGGGTCTGTTCAGTTATAAATGGGCGAAAGTGGCTCAGATTTTTGTCTGCATCCACGTTGCCCGTTTTATTTTGCTTAACTTTTCAGCTCTGAAATCCAGTCATGCAGCTTTTCATCTTACTGCTCGCAGCGCTCACCACATCAGTCATTGCGCAATGCTATTATCCTGATGGAAAACAAAGTGACGGGCTATTTCCTTGTAATACGACCGCGGCCGTCTCACACTGTTGCCGAAATGGAGATGTCTGTATTACAAATGGATTTTGTTTCTCCTTCGGTCTGAACGCTGTTGTCAGACGAGGATGTACAGACCGATCGTGGAATAGCACAGAATGTCCTCAGCAATGTACTGCAGGTATGAGACTTGTTTTGCCCCGGTTGAAACCAATGTCAGGTTCGCTGACCCCAATCTGTGTCTAGGAGAAGTATTCAGGTCCTCCGATGTGGTATTGACGCCATGCGACCGCTACACCACGTTTTGCTGCGGCCAAAACGAAGCAGCACGAAACTGCTGCAATACAGAAAATGGAACCGTCAATGTCATCGCGGGAGCGGCTATCTTTCCTCCCGCGGAATCGACCACAGATCCCACTTCAACGGCGACCTCTAGCCCTACGATCTTGCCCCAGGACTGTCAATCAAGCAACTGCCAGCCGCCGAAGATCGCAGCAATCGTCCTTGGAGCAGCATTCGGCTGCGTGTCTGTCCTCGCTGGGTATCTATGGTACAGGAGACGCCAGGTATTCGAGTGAAGGAACTCCAATAGTCGAGTCCCAGATTTGGGGCCAGGGGTATGAGGCTTCGCATAATGTCAAAATTGTATTTTAATTCCGTTGCTGGTCATGCGCGCCTTAGTCTGGTTTGAGGGGTGAGTTGATTGGAAGGCTGCTGGACGGACGTTCGAGCCTCGCGCAGTTCGCTAAAGTCAGCCTCCACGAGACTGGCGCCATCTCGGCAAGATGCAGCTTGGCCCTTGCTCCCAGATGCTCTAAGATCCTGAGGCAATTTCCCCGCAAATCAAATTGTAAAGTTTTCGGAGCTGCAGCGTCCATGCCATCGAGCGACCTCGGGCTGTAGTCGTGCAAAGCAGCATCGAGGACGAAGAGGAGCGAGAAGACTAGAGGATTACATAATCAGTGCTCACGGGATCGAGCGGCCCGACTCTACCGATTTTGGTGCTGAATCTCACACACACGCTTGTCAACTCGGATTTCAAAAAGTGCATATTATTCTTTATTTGCTGCAAGCCATGATGAAAACCCGCACGGCTGAAGGAAACTAGCAAACCATCCAGCCCATACCTTTTTCCGCCCACAGTCTTTTGAACGCCAGCTCTCCCAGAAAACACCGTCCTGTTCAACACAATCAACGATGCGGAAAATAAGAGATTGTTCTTTCCCAACCCAAAAAAAAAAAAAAAAAACGAACCGAGCCTGCTTTTGACGAGAGCAGAGAGAAAAGGAGATTGATCCAAACCGGACTATAAAAGGACAAATGAAAGCAAAGCATGAAAATGAGATAAGGAACAGTTTGAACTGAGAATCGTTTAAATGACGTCCTTTCTTTCCCACCCCGTTGGCTTCATGATGGATGCGGATTTTGTCGGATGGGGTTCCTGTGGATTGTCGTATTTGGAGGCATAAGGGTTAGGGTCGTACTTCTGGTCCAAATTGGCTAGAGTATGGTTGACCTCTCTGTGTTTGGCCTCGTCGGCGCGGATATAGTACAACAGATCCAGGATTTTCTGGTGGCCCTCGGGCATCTTCCAGTACGTGACTGCGATATCAGGGGCCTTCATGTCTTGCCATCTCGGCAGTTTGCCAGACTCCAGGTCGTTGATAGCATGAGTGTATGTTAAGACTGCTTCTTCTTCAAGGTATCCGACAAAGCGGTGGCACGTTCTGGGGGACAAGAGGTAAGAGATGAAAAACGCGTTGAAGAACACGCCTTGCGCACCAAGGACCATAAAACGCATGAACCAGCCGGGCTCGGCGAGCTTCAAAAAGGTGAGAAGATGCATGCGCTCGTTATATGCTTCTTCGAGAAGAGTCTCAATCCTGGGGAAACAGCGTATTAGCATTCGGCCCGTTGACCAGCAGGAATGGCAGCTCACCATCCAAGATCTCTTTTCATTCTTCTCAAACTACGCATATGGCGCAGCATCCCACCGACCATTCCTGGCACGGCCGCAACTGTCTCTAGGAAAATGAATCGAATGATCCATTTACGCTCGTCCATGGAGAATGGCCTCACGTTCTTTTGCTCCTTCCCAGTTGGCGGGTGCTTATAGCCAGTTGCGAGATCCATACCCCAGCGGAGCATTCGGACGGTGCCCAGGGCGATCCAATCCGACCAATCTTTCGTTTGTCGATGTGCAATGACGATATCCTTCATTTCTTTCTCAGTGAAACTACAAACGTCAGCCATCGGAGAACGCAGACTCCCCCCAAAGTGGGTACGTACACAGGGTGTTTGAAATGTGATTCGGTTTCCACAACATGAGGTGTCTTTGGCGGAGGAAAGAACTCTCGCAGCTTATTAGACGACGTGGTTGAGAAGTACCGCGAACTGTTGGGGACGCCATGGTTGCGGAATGGCAGTGCGGCGGCGCTTCGAAGGCCTATTGTCACTGCAGCGGATGGACGCAGGGATGTTTTCAAGCATGACTGCTGAAACAATCTCGCAGTGGTCGGACCGGCTATCAACGTCCGCAGTTGCACAGTTGCTGTGGTGCTCATTGTAAAGAGTTGTATGGCAGGTAGTGACGAAGGGGAGAGAGAGGGCCTCAGATGAAGAGAGGGGAGACAAAAGCCAAAGATGGAGGGGGCTCAAGCTAAATATCAGTTTCCAGGCTTTGATGTATAGTTTGCGATCCAAGGATTGTCCAAAGTGAAAGAGGTGTCGACGTTTTATACGCGCAGCAAAGGAATTCGAAGCCAATGACTTCATCTATTTGGAAATATTACTATTATTAAGTTAAGCGCTACCGAGTCTCAGGAAGGCATGCTTCGGATTGGACGAATGACTGTACAAAGCCCCGAGACCAAGCCTGTCTGGCGACTTCGAAAAGGGACAATGTTGCGAGCTCCCATTGGTTTTAGGGTCGGGGAATTCGGGCATCTCCAGCACGTTCTCCCAGAGCTCAACAACGTCATGGTCCGTTACAGACTTGCATAAACCGGCTGGAGCTCTGCCCAGTGAACAAGTTAGAGAGCAACAGTTGTCGACAAGCGGGCTGGGATGCCGCTTCTCTTCATCGATCGACCTACTATCATTGATCCAACTGGAGTACATGTGCAGCTGCGGCTCGGCGTCTGTATGCCAATACGATAGATTACCGCTAATAAACTCTGCCTGTGCAAGTGATGCTCGGGAGATCCCGGGTGCTCGCCGAAAACAAGCCGCTGAGTCATAACTAGTTAGTCCAGTGCGGCAGTGCAGGGCTGAATTCTCACAGCTCGGGCTTCGAAGATTTTGTTTATCAGGAGAATCGCTTTCAGATGAGGGCTAAAGTATATCTATGGACTATGTTGCAATCAACCGAATTCTGTGTAATTGAGTACCTCCAGGTTCTTCGAAGATATGGTGTCAGCACCACCAGCTTTGAGATCTATCAACCGAGTCATCCAGCTATTGTAGATTTAGTCCGGAAAAGTCAACTATCAACCAAATATTTAGACTCTTGATCCCACATGTCCGATCCCAACATCTACCGAACAACTTGAAATCGAGATTCACCCATTTTCGGCTCAATCTCGGATTTCTCCAGGTTCGTAACTTGGGCGTGTCGGGGGCCCCGTGAGACATCTTCCAGGAGTTTCTTCAACGAGTCTTCGTCGCCTTGGGCTTCTCCCTGGACCTTTACGGGGAGTAAGCTTTTGATACCTAACAAGGCCATAGGCTACTATCCAGCAGAGCAGTTGCCGTGCATCATTGGAGGAGAGAAACGCGTGGATTAGGAGTAGATAATTCGAGAGCGCGCACCTTGCCGTCAGTTGTGTTTCTGACCCAGCCGGTTAAACCGTAATTATTTGCATGTTTCTGGGTAAAATCGCTAGTAAGTTTATAATGTCAGCGGTAATTGGATGCAACAGATAGGCTGCCCGAATATTTCACGGGCGCGTGCAGCGGCGATACCGGAAGCAAACTCCTAGGTATCGATCAGTTCCGCTCCGGGAGTCGATCTGGTTCAGGATCGGGGGAAGGGACAAAAAGAATATGCTCACCTTGCACTCTTCCCTGGACAGCAAAGGAAATCTGCATACATATATCCGTTTTGGTCAGTGACTGGGTTTCCACGGACAACACCCGGATTCTCAAACAGTGGCTGTGCCATACACGTTTGGCCATAGCTCCCATTGACTTCATAAGCATGCGGGTTGCTGGTGGAATATGAGAGCCTGCTCAAGCATCAAGCAGGAAGTGAGTCTCGGTCCTGTAACCTGAGCGTGGTCTCTCTGTTATCCTCGCATCTCTGAGTGAACTCGAGTTGAAGTTGAGGATTTGCGGGATGAAGTCATGAAGCAGTGATAGCGCGCTAGTCCCGAACAGGGTCACGCGCCGGCTCTCCAGATTGAAAAAAAAGCGTTCAAACTGCAGCAACTTGAGATGAAAGCCGTGATATGAGGTTGCAGAGGACATTGCTGGGCACGATCGAGCTTCTTCATTCAGATATAATTACTCTCTGTGGTTCATCATTATTGCCGCGTCTTGAGGCCAGTCAACTCCCAACTAACTAGCAAAACATGTGAGGGAGCGGCTAACCCCTGAGGCCAGCATCGCTCAAAGAAAAGATGAGACAAACCTCATGTTCACTGTTGCAACCCATGTCAATGTCACGATTAATTATGATTGTCTCTCTCCTCCACAACCGCCAAATTAACTAATCAGAGCTAATAACAAGTCCGATGTCACCATGGCACTGAAACCTCTTCTTCTCCTTCCCCTGTGACACGTCTTCCAATTGGCTTCGGTTCGTATCACTTCAAGACAACCACAACAAACCTTCGAACCTTTGTGACAGCTGTGCTGTTGATATTCCGATTTGCTCCCACCTCAGCCCATTGCCTTCCTTGTCCAAACAGTGGTAGCGATGGCGGCGAACGTTGGATCCCCCAACCGTTCGATCCCCGATCCGATCTCCAGCAGGTCTCGCGACCTTTCTCCCTCGCCGTCCTTGTCGCCCACGCCTGCTATCTCTTCATGTCCATCTCCCGACCGAACCTTCTCCACCGTATCTTCCGTCTCGAACCTGTCCGGCGATGGAGGCTCGTCCATTTCCACGTCGTCCCGCAGACGCGGGTATATCAGACCCCAAGGCGCCGTCTTCGCAGAATCTGCTAAAAACCGGGAGAGCGTGATGAGCTTGGGCAGTATCGCGCATTTGCAGTACTATTTTGCTAGGACGGGGCTCCTGGACGGGAAGGGCGCACAGTTGGCTCGTGCAAAAAAGCGGCGAGATTCGGATATACCGAAGCTCATGTTGACTCAGGCGCAGTTTGGCGGGGATTTGATCGAAAGCCCAATCGAGGAGGCCAGCGACATGGCAGAGGAATGGGAGGAAAATGAGCCTGTCATGTTACCCCCGACCGTGAGCACGTATAGTGTTCGCACGCACCATCTCCCGCCGCCCGTAGATGTCGAAGCGCTCAGAAATGATCTACAGTCGGCCTTGGATAAAGCCAGGAACGTTTTAACTGCTACAAAAGACCAGTTGGCCGCCCATGCGTCTACACCAGTGTTGATTGATCAAGCGGCCGAAAACCTGTCAGAAACAAGGGAAGAGCCATTAGAGAGTCCTGGGCCTTCGAAAATTCCGCAAGGTTGGCATGAGATTGAAGGAATGCACATTTTAGACATGGTAACGCTTGCTATACGAGCTGCCAGGATTTACTATACCTCCCATGAGAACCCGGTCCGCTTGGATTCGATTAAGAGCGAGAGAAGAATACGCGAAGAACTACTGGGTGTGTTGGAGGTATTGAAAAAGTGGGCGGGGAAGAATTTTGCGGGTGGACTGAAAGACGAACAAAGAAGTATCATGCTTGGATGGATATCAGAAGTAGAGTCCATGATCGACAAAGAAAGGGCCTTGGAAGAGGCCGATAGGCAGAAGAGAAACAGCTGGATTTGGGCTAGCGGAGACTGGTTGGGCCCGGTGCGAGAGAGGGAACAAGCGTTCCTCCAGAGCTTCGAAGCGTCCGAGGAAATACCTACGTGGGAGCCCGCAGAAAGCAGCACGCTTCCTACACCGTTCCTTACTAGATGGCAGGATGGTCGTCGTCTCGTGCGGTTGCATAACGCAGCTGTGAAGATGTCCAAACGCCCCTTTGGAGAAATCAGGTCTTTCCATGAAGACGTTGGAAAACCATACCGGATGGCTGAGAATATTCGCTACTGGGCCAAAGCGGCCGAGATTCGGTGGGAGATCAAACTCGATGTAGACGCGTTGGGGATCGTCAATGGAGACAGCGATGAAGCATGGAGGAAACTTGACCAGGCGCTGCTCAAGTGGTGTCAGGGAGTTCGAGAAGAGCTGATTCGAGACTGGAGTGAGAAAAGCCCTAATCCAGCGTTAGCCACCATTCCTCCTGACGAACCTGGAATTTGAACGGTGTTGGGCGCGAATAGAACTGAAAAGTGATGCTGCTGGGCGAGAATCCCAGCAGCTCATTGGCACCACGTCGTCATGTCTCCTTTTTCTCTTGATACCCTTTCTTTTTCGCCCGCGTGTCTTCTAACAGGCTGCATGCCACTCAAATCGCAGTGTGTGATGTTTCATCGGGTTTAGAGATTGAACATACATATTCTGGCATGTCTGAGAGTACACCAGTGTGACAATGACTCTGCTGAACCCTTCAGATCCCGGGGCGGTTGGGTACGACTGGACAGTAGCAGATGTAGGATCCGATATATCTAGATGCCACGGCAAGAATATTTTTGCATATGCCTTTTAATTGATGTTCTCATATAGAAACGTGAAGAAGAATTAAACTAAAACAATTAATTACACTGGCTTTGCTAAATCAATTGAAGCGATGATGATGAGCTGCAATCCACCCAGACTCCCTTCGCCCTCGCCCATAATTCAGTCCAGCCCTGCGCGCTGCCATGTAGAATTCGCCTTTCCTCGTCCTTCCAAGGTGCTTGATGCGGTTGTTGAAGAGTTGCGAGTGACAGGGTTCAGCGGATCTCCTTCAAGCGGCAATCAGCTCCGTACTCTCACCTCGCTCCTCCGCCTGTCCCTTTTCCGATCACAACTTCCACCACCTCGCACGACAGCGCTGTTTGCTCTCTCCCACGACTCCGCCCGTCCAGCAAACAAATTACCCGGAACAACAGCAGGACGACCGATAGCATCTGCAAAGCTGATAACCGCAGCCCCGTCGTCGGAAGCAGACGTGGTCACTGCTGACCGTGGCGTTCAAGCATCGATGCCCGCAGCACCTTCACTATCTACATCCGAACCAGCTTCGATAGCCGTTCAAATAGAGACTAGCCCTGCCACGGTCGCATCTACGTCTCCCGGAGACCAGGCGAGCACTCAACAGCCACCGGTTCCAGCTGCACAGCGAATTCCTGACTCGCAAACGTCGGGTTCATCGCAACGCTCCACGTCTCTGCCCCAAGCGAATAACACATCGACCACACGCGTTCCGACCCAAGACCCAAAAGCGCGTTCCCCTTCTACGTTTTTCCGTCGCCTGTCCCCGAATTTAGCCGCGCGAGTGAAACTGCTTGACGGCACGGCGGGTTCTACAGCTCCAGCACCGCGGAATTTGAGCTCAGTTGGGAAAATCTCCGAAGCGCACATCAAAGAACTTGACAACCTCCATCGGGATCTTTCGATCAAAGTACAAAAAAGGGGTCGAGCGTGGGGTGGTGGGCGGTCGACGACGCACACCCCAGAGCCCGCCTCCACGAGCGGACGGGAGGAAGCATCCCAAAGCGAATGCGGCCACGAAACGGAAAGCCCTATTCAATCGGTTGTCGAGCCCTCAACCGACGGGAAAGCAGACATGTCCATAACGGAACACTCACAGACCGTGGCGGAAAGCACGGGAGCGTGCCATGGAACGAGCTTGGATTCTTCCTTGGAGCATACTGACCTTGAAAAGTATCTTAGCAGAGACGACGAACAGCCGCCCCCTCCACCTCCGAAGGACACTCCTCCACCTCCACCTGCCAGCGGTACTCCTAATGTGGAATCCTATTTCAACCCCTTGGGACTCCATCGGACGGACTCAATCTACTCATTTTCGAGAGCGTCGTTTAGCAACCAGCTCTCCCAGTTGACATCAATCAGCCTGCCCCAGCCCGCAGCGTTGGAAGCGAGCATTGCTGCGATCCCTACTGCCTCCGCTGCCGTTCGAGCTCTGACGCAAGCCGCCGAACAGATTCAACAGTGGATAAACAAAGCTTCGGACGTCCTGAGCGGCTTAGATGCTGATGATGATGTGGAGTGGGCCGCTGCCGGCGGCAGGGAAGGCCTCGAGGATGTTGATAAAGCAGTTACAAAGTTTGAAAGTCTGATAAATGTCTATGTCAAAGCTATCGAAGATGTTCAGCTGCGCGATGACATTGCTGACGTGGGAGCAAACCAACTCCACGGCGTAGTCATCCAGATGGAGGCAACGTTGCAGAACTGGAGCAAAGTCAGGTCTTTATTAAAAGGCGTTAAAGAACAGGTCGAGCTGGCGATGGAATGGGAGGAGCTCTGGAACGCAGTTTTGGGTGACGTCGGCCTCGAGATTGAAAATCTAGCACGTCTGATATTTGAAATGGAAGAGAAGCGACACAAAACCGTGATTCCGGATGTGGATCACGGCCCTGGACATGGAATGAATATCAATGAACTCGAAACTATTGTGGAAGAATCTCCGGCAAATGGCAGCGCCGCTTCTAATCCTCGATTTAGCTTTGCTCCTGTTTTTCCGCCCGCAAGCTCCCAACTGGACCTCCAGACGTCACAGAATCCGCAGGATGAGACAAGTCTTCTAGCTTTGTTTGCACGAATGCAGCCGCTCCGTGCATCGCTAGACTTCCTTCCAATGAGGCTATCAATGTTCCAATCTCGTGCCGCAACAATGTTCCCTAGTGCATGCGAGGAATTGGAGGATAGAAGGCAGAGGCTTGAAAAAGGCTACAAGAAGTTGGAAACGGATGCTGAGGCTCTACGCAGAGAATTAGGAGAAGACAGGTGGATCATAGTCTTCAGAAATGCGGTCAAGCAAGCACACAACATGTGTGATTTGGTGGATCGAAGCGTCAACAAATTGCAAGAAGCTATAAATGGTGGAATCCAACACAGCAACCCGGCAGCATTGGCAAAGAGAGCTGACAACTTTGGATCGAAGAGATCAAACTATGAATCAGCCATTGAGAGAGTGCTATCTATTATCCAAAAAGGCATCAATGACCGTTTGACTGTCAATGGAGAGATTATCCGACTCTTGGCTGATCTTCGAGCGAGATACGCGGCTCTGCAGGTTACAACGAGCGACATGGCATCTCTTTTGGATGAACTCTGCGCTTCTCGGGGTCAGCACATGCGCGATTCGGTATCCAGCATTGTCACATTGGATACGCCACCAACCAAAAGTGTTATCGATACTCCAGAGAGCTCTCCAGCGTCTTCCGTGATTATGCCAAACAATAGCAAGACCAGTGGCTCAAGAAAAGATAGTGCGACAGGAAATACTGTATCGAAGACCACCGCTTCAAAAGTCAAGCGCTACTCTGGTCTACCGCAACCAATATCGCCTTCAAGTCAAACACCAAAAAGGACACCGGCGCCACGCTCCGCTTCAATGGGCGCCGCCTATTTGAAATCTCCAACTCCACGGCTAACAACTACATCCCCCTCGCCGACACCTCCTCGACCTGATTCAAGAATTGGTAGCTCAACGAATCCATCAAAGCCCCGGTGGAATCATAGCTCTAATACCAACGATCTTATGGTTGGCCATAACTTCAAACCTTTGTCTCTCACCACGCCATCTCCTCACCGCCGACTCCCCGTTCCTTGCCGAAGTGCCTCTTCAACTCTTCCACCACGCAGCCCACTCAGTCGAGAATCGTCTGCGTCTCCGGCGCCGGGTCTTCGACCACCTAGCCACCTCAATCGCGGCGTTACATCTTCTCCCACTCCCAGGAAACCTTCTCTAATTGATCCACCTCCGTATAGCAAACTGCGTAAATCAGGTCCAGGAGCGTCTACACCGAGCCAAAGCCTTCCTTCAACCCCTCGGAGCCGACAAAGCTACGCTGGCCCACCTGCTCGCGAATCATCGGTATCCAGACATGTGGATGACTCCAGAAAGTCCAGCAGGCCCGGAACGGCTATGGGACATTCTAGCCGTCGCGTAAGCCTTCTTCCGTTACCCAAGGCGCGATCCGGAAGGGACAGCGCGGCAAGCAACCGGGAGGATCGGCCACCTTGGAGATATTAGATGATATTTGTTCGTGTAATTTTTCAATTTGAGCGTTTTCTGAAAAGAATGCCGGGTTCAAGTATCTGGTCAAGTTTGTTTGCATTTCCATTCCATCTTGTTTGACTTCTTTCCCAACCCTACTTTCTATCATTGTCTTGTTATACATAGTTCTCTCTTCATTTCCGACCTCTAGGATACCAATTCGTGTTATTCTTCTGTTTTCGCGTGCCCTAAGCCCCTTTCCGTTTGCTGGTCAAGTGCAAGATGGGTTTTTATTTCTTTTGGATTTCTATCCTCTTTCATACCCCTGCTCCTCCAAGTTTTTTGTCTGTTAGCACGGTCTCTTGTAGGAATCACCATAGCGGCATATTTTTTTTTATTTCTATATCATATATGTCATTCTAAATCTGGAGCTTTCGGACAAGAACTTCCCCGACACACTTTTATACTGTAACTACTCCGTACCCCTTTTTAATTTATCGGTTTGAGATACCCTATGCTTTCACTACCTCTCGTCTCCCCCAGAATATTCGGTGGTCCATTTGCAAGGTATCATTGTCAGCTAAAGACGTTTGAAATGAAATGAGCTTGATACTGTCTCTAAAACCTATCCCCCCAGCAACTGCTTGAAATTAAAGAAGATAATGAGTTCATCTTCTTCAAAACTCACTGCGAGATCCTTGAGACATTCCTCCCAATCTCTCTTCAACGCTCCAAAAGCCCCATGAAAAAAAGAAAACAGTATTCTAGAAGCAAAGTTTAATTAAGCTTAATTTCCGCTGCCAAGCTTTGGGGGGAAGCTCCCGGATGAAGAATAGGAGGAAATTCTGGAACTGGATGGGAAGGGAAATGACTGCTCTGAAATTGAAGAGGCACTATTTTTAAATTAATTCATTAGCTCCCTCCCAGCTTCCCCTGTGAGCCAGGCTGTGACAGTTGTCAGAGGTGTTTCAGAAGTTCTTTTTTGCTCGTTTCAGCAACCTGCTTGGAAAATCTGGGGCTGTGGGTTGAGGTCATCATTCATGTTTTGGCGTTTAAGCCTGCATGAGAAATCATACTAAAAATAGGATGATCAGGCAGGAAAAAAAAAAAAGGTAGCATTCCTGAAGGTTGAATGACATACAAGGTTATGTTTCAGGAATAATCAGTCTATCAAGTCCGCCCAAAAAAGATTGGAAGCAGTGAAAAGCATTCCAAGGGAAGAGTGTTTTTGGAAGTACAGAGTCATTTCAAAAAAGCGATGCGATCTTGTTTTGGGGAGAAAAAGAATATCCAGAGTGAAGGAGAGCTTATACACAATTAGACAACAAACATTCCAATCCAAAAATCAGAACGGAAAGACACTGAATTGAGGAAAGCTGAGGAATACCCAAAACATCAAACTGGACTAGATCCTTTTCCAAGTAGCCAACACAGCCAGAGTCCTAAATATAAACAGAAAAGCGGGGGGAAAGAAAAGGAAACCGCCAAAATTTCGCCAAGTGTATATGTATAATATCTTGAGATCATAGTGATAGGCATCATAAAGGTTGAAACTCTTTGGCACATACATGGCCCCGCCAAACATAAAACCATTCGACATCGTTAAGCATCAGGCGTGCAATTCATATCAAATAGAAAGGTAAATAAAAGGCTGAAGTGGAAGAATCTAAGCAAAACAAGGGAGCAAAGGGAATCAGGAAATACAAAAGAAGTAGACAGATTCACCGGAAATCTAGCTGGAAATGTTTCCATTTCCCACCGATGATCCCGCAACTTGGGCACCCTCTTCGGTTCGGCAAGCCTGTTCTGGGCGCGCTCAGATTTCCGTTGCCGGCAATCCCGTTTCCAGGGTTGCTAGTTGGGTTTAAAATCGAAGCAGGGCTCGCTCCGATAGTACCAGCCATCATGCCGATGCACTCCCTGCAGACACCACAGATACACTCGGTGCACGCAAGGCAGTCGCGCAGAGGCCATGGTCTAGAGCAGGAAGCGCAGTAGATTTGAACGTCTTTGCCGCTGTGACTGCTGAAAGGGGTAGGATTGGACAATCGATGGTGAATTCGGTTTCGGATATGTGGTTGTAGCTGGTGGGGATGTGAAGGTGGCGGGTAGGAACTAGTGCCAGGACGAGGCGGTTGTATAGGGCTGGAATCAGACATTGGCGGAGGCAACCCAGTCGTGGACATGTGGAAGTTTTTGCCAGATACAGAGGAATTAGAATCCAAAGACGACTCAACTGACGGGAACGGTTCCAAGTCCGTATCTGGAGGGCCGCCGTGTTCGTACGGGGGAGGTGTAAGTGCTTTTTGGAGAGGAGAAGCGGTGTAAGATGGTGGTGCGAATTGCCTAGGATAGGAAGATTGCGCGGGTGGTAATCCAGGTGTTGGCTGAAATGCAGGTGGTAGGGATGAGCGATGTTTCTGAACTGAAGGCGCTGAAGTCACACTGGCAAGAGAGCGGAATGACGGCGAATGAGGGACCTGTGGAAGAAAAGCCATCAGCAAGTGCGATGAAATAACAATGGGTAGGTAAGAATAGTTGGCAAAAGTGCTCAGTGGACATACAGGCGTCATGTCATGGTCGTCATCGACCTCTGTAGCAGAAGTTGCGGCCTCAATTAAATCTTCCCATCGCTTTCCTTGGACCCAAGCTGCAGTCTGGGGTTCCGCAGATAACGCTTTGCGTTCGTTGATGCTGGAGCGGCGACCGTACTCCTTTGATCTTGTACGTTCGTGTTTCCCTTTACGAGCTTGTGTTAGCGAACCTTTACGAGAGCGCTGAATTTTCTCCCTTCGTTGAATCGGCGGCAAGGTTGATGAGCGGCCTGGCGGTGAATGCGCCAAGATTGAGGGAAGCAGCTCTCGTGGACGGGGAGAAAAGGGAGGAATTGATTCCTGCTTGAAGTGGTCACGAAGGGGAGGTAGCTCCACGGAGGAGCGCATACGGTCCCTTCTCATATCGGTGTCAGAGTGGGCGTCCTAGTCACACTCGTTAATCAGAGGAAACTCGCGTGTTGTAACCAATCAATGGACAAATGAAGAGATAAGAATACCAGGGAGATGGTGAGACGAACCACTTCAGAGTCCCATTCAGACATCAATCGGTGGTGCTGAAGCTGCGCCAAAGCCACAGCAGCTGTGGCAGCCGCTGGATGAGCTTCATCCAAGGTTCGTGGAGTGGCAGGCGAGTTCTGGTCTCGAGCAAAGAGATCTCTGTCGACGATATCATCTATATCACCCTTTAGCAGGCTATATCTTGCCAAGGAAGTCTTGGGCTGGACGTACTTGGGCCTCGACGAGGATGTGAGGTGGGAGGTGGTTGCTGCTGGTGCGGCCTCTGATCCGGTGGAGTGCTGACCATCAACTGAAAGCTCTCCTCGGTTGCGGGAAGCTTGGGAATGTAGTAGTTGGGGTGCGCACGTCGGATGTGCTCTTGCATGGAACGATATCGTTTTTCCTAGCCATGTCGCCAATTGCAACAGTCAGCGACTTGAATGCAGGCAAGTATCGCAGAGCGCAACAGAGGCATAGATGGATGCATTGAGATGAAACCAAGCACATTCAAGTCAATGCTTGAGAAGAGCTCTGGTAAGGGGGAGGGTCTTACACCCAGACATCGCTTGCGACAGTTGGAGCCATCATTGTTGGTCAATGGACAGACCACTTCATTATTAGCGTCTGAGACCGAGAAGGAGCCCGTCAGGGAGGATCGTGGCGGCATGGTCTCAGGCAGTTGATTGATCGATGCCGGCTCGAGCAAGAGTCACACTGGAGAGGAGGGAAGCGCCACGTCGATCTTGATCGCTTGGAGCGGGATGGGGACAGCTTGGGAGGTGGCGGATCGAGTCACGCAGACAGGACGACAGAGGGTGACGAGGGCGTGAGAGAGCATTCAACGAGGCGAGGCAGATAGCCGTGTCTGTTTGCCTTGCTGGTAGTCAAGAAGTGCTTGATGCGTGATGAGAGTGGTTTTTGCCGGTGGAGAAGAAGAAGAAGAGAGGAAGAAGTGGCAGCAGCACCGAATGCTGGTTTAATTGAGCTAAGCGGGTGGATCAGGTAGGGGCAGCGAATCGGGAGGTCCAAGAGCTGTCAAACCTGGAGGAGGGGGCAAGAGGAAGCTCGATGGAACCGAGGGGCGGTTGCAGCAGGGAAAATCCAGACAGGGGACAAGGGGCGGGCAGAGAGGATGGGATAGCCGACTGTCGAGAGCTGAGAAGCGCCGTCCGGGAGAATCGACGGTTGATTGAGAGCAGAAGAGATTGAGATGCGGGAGGGGAAGCGAGGAGAGAAAAGAGACAGACACAGAGAGAGAGAGAGAGAGGGGTGCGATTAGTCAAAGCTAAGGCTGATTTTCCAAGCTGTCGCTGTCAGGCGATGGCAGCCACGTCTAAAGATAGGATCGCACGAAGCGAGACGGACTGGCTTGGAGCTCACGAGGGATCCGGAGCTACGAGGAGGAGCTTGCGGCCAACGATGACGAGAATGCGGTCCCACGGTTACGAACTGCTCTTAACTGACTAGTTGGCTAACGAGCTCACTAGTTAGCAGTTTCAACGAAGAGCAGCTCCCCTCCACTTGAGGCAATTGGCCGGTGTGCACAAGCTTAACACGCAGGATGATGCCGTCAAGCAACAATGAAGATCAGGTGCAATGTGCGCATTGGCGCTGCGGGCTGTAACCTCAAGCGTCGAATCAACTGGTGAGATTGCTGTCTGCTCGGCGACTCGTAACGATCATCAACTGCTGCTGCTTGCTGGGACCGGAGGATATGGTCCCAAACCGTCATCTGTACGCCGTCCATCGAGCTGCAGGTGGCTATCTACGGCGCAGTCACGGAACAGGGCAGGGTCCAGCTCTCCAGCGAAGGTTCACGACACGTAATTTCAACCATGGGCTTCCTTTTTGTGCATTCCTCTGCTCCATACCTGTTGCTGAGATTATATTTCTACCCCAGGGTCGAGACATCAAAACCTCAACCAAGGTCCTCCCAATCACAGCTCCAGCATTCCAATCCGCACCCTTCAAACAGCCAGCCCGATATCAGCTATTATTAGCCCGTCTCTCCATGGTTTGATTCCAGTTCCCCCCTGTTTGCTGCTGTTGTCGCGCTTGCCACGAGGTAGCAGTGAGAAAGCGGCCATGTTTCAAGGTTCAAGCACCCAATAATGCCTTCCACCATCCATACTCGCTGGTTACATCCGCCGTACCAACAAAAATCTCTTGCATGTGCCGTCCTCGCTCTCTCTCTCTCTCTTTTTTGAAAAGCTTTTCCCGATGATCTCGTCGGAAACGATGTCGTGCAGCAAATCCCCCAAACATCGAATACGAACATCCTTGCCTCGCATCACGCAAGAAACGCCTCGAGCTTCAGCTGGCAGATCTCCCTTCCCTCACCCCCCCCTAATCCTCAGCACATCCCCGCCCTAAACACCCAGCGTCGCAAGCGGTGAATTGAAGCGCGGAGAGATCGGATGAAAGGGAACCGGGGACGAGGGGTCAGCATTACCGACAAGCTCCACGCAGCTCGGTACTGGTATTTCGCTTTCAATACACGGAGCTTGCCCGGGAAACTCCAGCCCGCATTATGTCATTCTGCATGACTAAGGCACTAGTTCTTGGCGCGTTTTTCTGGAAGAATCCAGTGACCACGTGCCACAAGGCGGATACGGATTTGCGATTTGTCTATATTATTCCGGCTTGCTCATAATGATACAAATAATCCCGCTCACGCCGCCATTGCTCCAGTAAATGAATAAATCTGTGCCAAAAGAAAAAAAAGCAAATCATCAAAGCACTCTTCGCTTCAAGATTCGGGTCTTGGATATAACATGCTATGGTTCAAAACACACTGAAAAGGGGTATCGTTCACATCCCACTTCCTGGGCATTACAATTATCGAAATATGTCGGCGATATGTGACAATGTTCTCTTCATATCCCGTCCGGATTCGCGCTGTGCTCGTGCTCGGGATGATGCCGTCTCTCGTTGACCTGGCCTGCCATTTGCTTCCCAAGCTCGTAGCTAGAGATCATGATCGCACACGCAGGCGCAACTTTCATGCACCGCGCGGCCCACCCGCGAAACAAGCCCGAGAGGCCTTCTTCTCGGAAAATGTGAAGCAGAAACCTCGGAATGGATAGCTGTTCGGGTCGGATCGCGGATCGACTCGTCGAAGCTACGGACCCGCCTAGCTTAGTGAACGAGGAGGAAGTAAACGAGCCGCTTGTAGTTGGCGGGCTTGCTGCCGGGTTCAACAGCGCGTCGTCTCCCAGGTGTCGAAAGACCTGCTGGCGGGTTTTCCCGACATCAAACGGCGTGGTGATGAGTGCCGAAACTGCGCCTGCCACGGCACCAGCCGTAAAACTTTCCACAAAGACAACACCACTGCTCTGCGGCTCGTGGGCCGCCATGTGAGCCGTGTGTGGAAACGTCCTGGCGCGTATGCTCGCAAGCGACGCCTTCATGCTTTCGTATCCCCACCAGTACAAGCCGGAGAACGGTACGTCGCGCCACATGGTCAGATTTAATCCTCGCCAGAGCGCGCTATAACCCTGCGTCTGTGTCATCTGGTGTAATCCTCGTAGAGTCGCTTTGAAGTGGCCCGTACCCGTTCCAGATGTCGCCTGTAGCCGTGTCCTAAACATTTCAATGGGGCTAATAGCCGCAGCCGCAGCAATTCTAGCCACCGAGCCCGCCACAAAGGCCGCGGAGCGCTCGTCCACATATCGAGCGATCGGGCTCCTCCTATCGTACCGCAACCAATCGTAGCCGGTAAAATATATCACGTTCGCCGGAATGGCCATGACCAGCGTTGGGCTCAGACCCCTCCATAGCGACAACGGACCCTCGTTGCGCGCGATTTTGCGCAAGCCATCAAACGTCGATGTAAACGTCTTGCGCTGCGTCTCCTCCACGGCGCATTCCGCCGCCATCACCGCACCCGGAGGCTTTCCAATCTCGGGGACCTGCTGTCCAACCATGCAGAATTGACCATTGTCTCCGACCCAAAACACCTCGCGGCAACAGGCTGTGACGCCGAGATTCGGTGGTAATTCCTTGAAGAACCCTGACGGCTGGGTGATTACTGGCAACTTGACGAATGCAGTCTGAGCTTGAAGGCGAACACGCACGACATCGAGCGGAGTGACTAAAAAGTATCATTCACACGTTAGCCACGAAAAGATTGGTAGACAGCGAAAATGCTCCTCACCTAGCAGAGACGTCAAGATACTACCCCATGTCGCCGATATCATTCTCTGGCTCGTTGACACTTGAATACGCTCCGGTTCCGCCATCGCACCGCCTCCTGCGCCGGTATGCCTTCGCGTGATGGCCATCGAACTCCTGTCGGCATGATATATGGAACCCGTCCCATCTACCCTGGTGCCTATCAGCTTCCCGTCCTCATTCCGGGCAGTTTCCGCGTCTCTCGATCGACTCGACCCAATGGCAGTGGTAGGCATTCAACTGCTCTCTCTCTCTCACTCTGGTGAAGTGGTATCTGGTAGCCAGGTTTTCCCCTTCTTTTATTCCCCCTTCCAGAGAAAAAGAGAGCGAGTTTCCCTCCAGCAGAAAACAAGAAAAAAGATAAATTACGCGCCTTTTCGCCTGCGGTATCGGGGTTGGTTACGGTACCGCCGTTAAAAGAGCGATGGCGCTAATACCGATTCAGTTTGGCCCGCACTTTTCGGCCGGCGATAATCGGGTCTAGTGTCTCCGGACCGCTGAAATCCGGGGATATCGTCGCTTGCCGCTTTTAAGCCTCCGCGGCGACATTTGTAATCGCCGACCGTGAGTCACCAACAATTGAGCCGCGAGACAAGAGGAACGGCGATGCAGTTCATTTCATCAGGAGAGTGAATCAAGGCAAGTCGAGAGAGCTGACGGAACTTCGCGCCGCCCGTGGCCAATTTACCTGGAAGACGGCTAGAGTTTAGGATAGCTAACGGCCTAACTGGCTCTTATCTAATCGCCAAACTACTTACTTGCCGATATCTGTGGTGTCCAGGTGCGAGGACAGAAAGGATGGAGCGCAGCAATCAGGAACTCGAGTCCTTCCGGCAACAATGGCTGGAAGAGGTTTCCGCCCGGGCGAGACGGCCTTCGCAACCGCCCAAACCATCCGCTCCCAATCGGTCATCGGCTGAGCCGAGCCGCAAACGACCTCCACGGCACCAGGCCGCTGACCGTGAAGAAGAGCCCGAATACCGAGAAGGTAGCAGCCCTTCTGGGCCGTCTGACTATGAGGCATTGACCGCGCAGACCCAGTCGCTCGCAATTGCTCCGGCAGACGATGATGCCTTCGTTCTTGGAGCGCAGAAGGCTCCAAGCTCCGCACTGGAACACTTTGAAGAAGCGGCGGCGAAGGAGGCCCAGGGAAAGCTTGGTGATAGCTTGAATCTCTATCGGAAAGCATATAAGGTGAATACCAGCTATCCCATCTATGCTCTAATCATGTCTAATTGGCTTCTGTTCTAGCTCGATTCGAGAGTAGATCAAGCGTACCGAAAGAAGCACTTCCCGCCAGCAGCACAGGCACCGGGAATTAACCCGTCAAATGCCCCCGTTACCGTGCCAAATACTGCCCATCACTCACCTGGAGGACCAATTCTTTCCACGCCCGAGCTCTTAGCTTCCTTCGCGCACTTTCCAGTCCCTGTTGCCGACCCCATAATCGAAGGCGCTCCGCCTCCTCCCTGCCCCATCTCTACCACCCCATCAGAGATCCTTGGAGAGATTCTCAAGCAATTGGCATTGCTGGACCCAGCTTCATTCGCCCGTCTGGCTCTGGTTTGTAAGCGATTTGCCTTCCTCGTTGCGCACGAACAGCCTGTCTGGCGCAGGCTCTGCCAGGGATCAGAATTCGGATTTGGTTCAATGCACTACAGTTTTGCATGCGATGTTGAAGGGCGGCGTGAATACACGTTCCAGCCACGTTATAACCCCTTTCCGTTAGGATCTACCGCGCTGCAGATCCCCAAGCCCTTGTCCACTTGGGCACAGGTATTTCAGACGTTTCCCCGTATTCGGTTTACGGGGATTTATATCAGTACGGTCAACTACACTCGGCCTGGAGCATACTCGTCCTTTCATAATACATCATGGGATGCTCCCATACATATTGTCACTTATTACCGATATCTCCGCTTCTACCCAGACGGATCCCTTATCTCGCTACTCACAACCACCGAACCCGCCGATGTGGTCCGGCATATCAGCAAAGAAAACCTCGAAACCCTCAAAGCACCTCCCTCTTCCTATCGCCATCATCAGCATCAGCACTCAGGCGCCGGTCCGACCGCTGCACCTTCGGCTAACCCAATTCCCACCGTTGCGGCTTCAGCACTCAAGGGAGCCTTGAAAGGTCGATGGCACCTCTCCCATCCAAGCCCAGTAAAACCGGCAGATGCTCCCGATTCTACTGAACCTCCGACGCCGCCAGCCAGTAGACACAAAAACAATACCAACTCGGACTCCAAACATGACCCCCGTGACTTGTTCATAGAGACTGAAGGCATAGATCCCAAATACACCTTCACTATGCATCTCTCCCTCCGATCCACCACAACATCATACCGTGGTTCTACAACGAATACCTCCAAGAATACAAAGTTGATTTGGAAGGGATTCTGGAGCTATAATCGACTAACCGATGATTGGGGAGAGTTTACGTTGCGCAACGATAAAGCTTTTGTTTTCAGACGCGTTAGAGGATGGGGCTTGAATTAACGCGGCCCTCAACTCTTTCACTTCCCCGTTTTCCTTTTTCCGGCTTGAGATTCAACAGGGGTTTGGTTAAAGGAGTTTTCAAAGCTTAACACCTGGCGCTGGCGGGTCGCTTTTATATTTCAGGTGAAAAATCAGGTCTATTGTGATTATCTTTTGAGTATGGAAGAGAAAAACATGTTGCACCGTCCTATGAAATTGGCATCTAGAGTTGTGGTATCTGCTTGATCTTATGGCAGCCTGTGCACTGAGGCTTTGGACTTCGGAGTCTCGAACAAATATTTTGGGGCTTTGCATGAGTTATGAATGTGTGACCTTTTATGCGTATATACACGCATACTGTCCACGACCTATGACGTTGTCTTATGAAATGATCAGACGGGTTTTGCCCCTAACATATTTCCG